TAAATAACTTTATTTACAACCCTTCGCCGGTCACAGATCCTTGGATTACACTGCTAATGTAATGCGTCAGTGGTTCAGACAATGTGGAGGACTGTATTTTCTGGAGTCAATAAGACAAGCTGTCAGGATTGTAATCTGTGTCCATGGATTCACACCATTAGCACGAAAGCTATCTTGCAGTCACGCGCATTAACACCCCGGCCTGATCTAATTAGAAAAATACACAATGTTCTGTCTGTGTTGGGAGATGCTTTCTTTTCACAGTCTCAACCCCACTCCCCCTGCCTGCTCTCTCACTCTGAAAGGGACTTCTTGAGCGTTTAATTTTAATCCCTGGCAGCATCTACCAACAGGTTTTGAGATGGGGAAGACTTCATTTCATCCAAATGGAAAAACATTGAAAACAAATAATAGAAAGCTGTTCAGTGCACTGATTTGGTAGTGGAGAGGAGGGTCCTTTAACAAAGCTCCCTGAGGAAGTAACTTTCAGCGAGTTCCAAAGGACACTTCTCTAGTATATGCTTCGGTTCCTTCTACATCCCTCTTACTATACATGTGTCCATAAATTTCTTCTCATAGATAATCTGGTGGCAACCAAACAACTGCTATCGCATATTAATATCTCACCTTGCATATCAATCTCTCTCCGTATCTTTCCATGCATAACAATGCCTTACTCTGTGCTGTCTAGCAGGCATCGAGGATGGGTTTAGGAACTACAATACAATCTAATCTGCACTCTCCTTACTGCTGCAAGCTTGCTCATTTCCCAGCACGTTCCTGACGGGACTGGAAGCTTGTTCTCCAGTATAAAGTGTTGTCTGGATGTGTAAATTATACTTTTTCTCAAGTATGCAAAATGGGGATGGGTGATGGGCTTTAATTAAACAGTTACAGTTTCAAATACAAGCACATCAGGTCTCTATCAACACCGTTTCCAAGGTTCTGAACTAGTGTGGAGTTTTTTTTTTAAGGCCAGCAGGCTGGGTCCCTAGGGATAGAAATAGGTGTCTGAAAACCTGCATGCTGTTTTTCACTGATTAAGTGTTGTGAGCTTTAGAAGCCCTCTGTACCTGGAGTGTCCTCATTGAGGCTCATTGGGTGGTGGGTTCATGCTGAACTGCCCAGATGTATTACTGGAGGACTGAGGTTTGTGGTTCAGGGCCTTCTAGAAAAATGGAAAGAATAAATACTGATGAACTGGCTGTCATGGAAATAAGATTTTTTTCATTAGCTTCCTTACTAAACTGTATTAAAAAAATAAAGGACCTGGCCTGGTTGTGTTTCCAATGAAACTAAAGGTATTTCAGAGATTTCTTAGCCGACACCTCAGTTTGGTGAGGTGGAGCAGGGATCATTTTTGTGCTTGGGACACCGCAAAGAAGAAACACAACACAAACGGCCCTGATCCCTAAACTATTAACTCTTTCTCAGAGGAGTAATCAAGGTTGCCCACAACCTTGATCAATTGTTTTTTAGTATAACTTTTTCTGTATTTTATTTTGTGTTTATACAGTATAACACAAGTATTTGGTAGCTTGCCCTCAGTGCTGTAAAGAAGGACCTAGTGGCAATAGGCTTTTTTCCAAAGGCAGTAGGGTGTCCTTGCACTAATTAAAGACCTGAATTCAAGCGAGAAAATACCAACCTTGACTTTCCCTGTCAGAGAGGAAGAGTGCAGTATTGAATTTGGGTTTAGTTCAATCCCCTTTATTTCCTAGGAATTTGTTCTTGGGATTTCCCATAAGGATTGCAAAAGCATTCAAAAAAGGCTAAGTGTCGGTTCTAGTGGGATCCTGAACAGATGACATCATTCTGTTCAGCAGCTGTTAAAGACTGACGGACTCCCCTGTTGCATTAAGATAGGATTTACAACCGGGGAGAGGTCAAATCATGCTGTTTGTGGACCATGCTGATTAGCATGAAAGCCTTTGAAAATCAGTTTAGTGAGTCCTTAGGGAGCAAGCTGGGGTTTCTCGGGACATGAGACCACTTGATATCTTAGCAAGGAGAGTCCTGCAACATGCTCAACAGTCTCAAAACCAAGGCCAAAGCCCCTGGTCTTCACTGAAGTGGCTCTCACAGCATCGCTTGGAAACCTTTAATTCAGCACATTGCAAAGCAAACCAAAGCAAGCCAATTTTTATTTTTGTCTTTTTTTTTCCCCTCTCTCCTAATTGGTTTGTCAATCTGTTCACCGGCAGGTGTTAGAACAAGCCTCTTTTTTTTTTCAGCCAGAGGTTACTGATCAAACAGGCCTGTCTGAGTACCAGCTGGTGGCTTTTGTACTCCTCGGGCCCGCCTGCTCTTGCTCACTGATAAATTGCTTGCCTTTGCTGTTTTCAAATAACTGCACACTATCCAGTGGAAAGCATGCTGTAGTCATCGGCTGTTGCATGATCTCATTTGTTAATATTATAGTGTTTGTTAGAACTGCACAGCGCTTGTTAATGTGACTTTGAGGTTGAAGCCTCTTAGACTTTTTTTATTTTGGTGAATGTGAACAATACAGTATCTTCCTTCTCATATGAGCTTGATTGGATCCAATAATCAGGATTTGCCATTTCCTTAAATATATAATCCCAGTGGAAGACCCCAAGTGTCTCATCCAACAAAGGTGCTTGCCTGAGCACATAACAGGGTTCGAGTCTGGGTCATGTCGCTGGTCGCCTGGGATTCCCCATGTCCTGGTGCACACTTGAATGACTGACTAATCCCATCCTAACCTCTTCGGTGCTCAATCAAGACTCGTGGCAATGCCCTGGGAGCTTCCTGTGTGCCTCCAGGCTTGTGGTGTCATGGAAGAGTGCCACCCCCCTCCTGCATTTGTCACTGAACTTCCAATGTGGGTGTGCACATCCCACCATGTGGCTCGACCATGAGCGTGACAGTAGGCCAAACCTTCCTCATTTTTCCCCAAGCGTGTTGGTAGCTGGGTTTCAGAACCATGAGCCGAGACTTGAAAAACACAGAACTGAAGATTCCAAATTGTGTGGGTATAGAAAAATAATTGGGGGGGAATTGACTGTCAAAAGAATATGATGGGAATGATGCAATTTTGTCCCATGAGATGGGGAAAGAAAGCAAAATCGGTATCTTTGGGCTACTAATGGATTTTACGGATGACTGAATTGTGTATTCTTTGATTGATCCATCAGCTCAGACCAGACAACAGTGCTTTATTCTATAAGCCACAGATGCAGCTATTCTGATCAGTGCTGATCATCAGTATGTACTAAGCAGATTTGTTTCCTTAGGGGAGTTAGCAAAAAAGAACAACAAGCTTTATAGAGCCTCAGACAGACTAGAATATTATGTTCTAGGACATATTGTCTTTGAACTGATGAGACCAAAGAGAGAGGCAAAGTAACTAGTTCCACAGCGACACAACATTTTGATTGTAGTTTGTCCTGTCTGCCTTGCTGCTGCTGCTGTCTGTTTGGGGTTAGTTTTTTTTCCCCCTCCTTATTTACTACAAACAAAATATCTTTGGAATTCTTGCATAACAATTGATCTATTGCTAATGATGTTTTCAAATCCAAGCAGAGATGACCTTAATGAAATTTGAAAGGTTTTGGTCTTCCTCTTTAAGTCAATCAACTCGCCACAGGGCATTCTGGGAACTGGGGTGGGGGAAGGGGTAGCTGGTAAATGAGGGTGTGGTGGGGAGGGGAGGTGTCATTTCAACCTATATGCAAACCAACAATAAAGAGAGTGCAGCATTTGAAATTTGCAGAGTGCTAATTGCTGTGCAGTACTGCACATTAATTCATTCATATATAGAGGAATTTATGGAAAACCCATTGAGAATTCCATAAAGTTTTTATGATAGATTTTAGGATTCCATCCTTGTTATCTGGACCACTTTATATAACATTTACCTATTGGTTCTCATGCAAGTCAGGTGTATGCGGTCCCAGTGGGGTTCAAACTGCACTTTCATTGTAGTTGGAGCATAAATGTTATTTTGTGTGAAAAATAAAACCTGTTATCTTTTGAAAGTTGTTGTGGTTACGGTCTATATTGTATGCAGCTAACAATGTTCTCTACCGAGATAAACTCCCATCTGTGTGTAACAGTTTGCATTACATAGTGTTTTAATGAAATGAAATCCAGTCAAAACCTCGTTAGTAAGAACTCAGACAGGGCTGAACAATCCTCTCTCCATGCTGTCTGAAGTGAAAAAGAAAAATCCTCTTTCTCGTTATCGAATTTGGCTGAGCTGTTTTCCCAAATCTTATGTCGATGCCCTCAGCACTTCTTAAAGTCCTTCTCCCCTGTGATTTAATTAAATAAGCTCCCTTCAGTCTAGAAAACCTGGCTTGTTGCAGGTTCCGCCGGAAAAGATGTTCAGACACGTACACGGTGTGTTTCTTAATTCACTTTAGGATGACTCATTAGAAGTGTTCCAGTTCCCATTGAGTTTTCTCCTTGTTGAGCTACTTCCGAGGCCTAGAGATCTTAAAGTGAGGTCACGTTACTCACCCCCATCTCTTCAGATCAACGCTGTATCCCCTGTATGGCTGCTTTCCCACAGTCCACACTGGTATGCTAGCATTTCCTGGTTCCAACTTTCCAAGCTGCTCAAAAGCCTCCACGGATGTCTCCCCAAATCTCTCTGCTCTCATCGCTTGTCAGAGTTGATATCCAGCCAATATCCTGCAGACATTGGGTCATTCCTCTCAACCGGGGCCAGAGGGTGTCTCTGTAGCCCTTCAGGAAATAATGAATCCCTAGCACCCAAATCCAGACTGCCATGACATTTTGCCTGCACATTGCTGGCTTGGTCTCCCACCTCTGTACTTTTAAGACAGGCCCTGAGCACATTTGAGGAGGACCTCTCTGGTTCTTAATGAAGGGGTTTGACTGAGTTGAAGAAACTCTGTGTGTCTCATTATTCTTGGGTAGTTTTTTCTCACTGTCTCTCGAGGTCTTTTTACTTCCGTTCTTTGCTCAATCTAGATCTTTTGTTCCTTTTTTACAATGCATTGCATATTCAGAAGAGGCAGCATGTAGGTATCTTAAAATGCATTTCCCCTGCTGCATGACTCACCGTTTGTTTTTTTTTCTTATGTTTTCTTTACTTTTCTTCTTTAGTTTTGAATTTTGCTGTGTTCTGTTCTCTCATAATTTTAAAAAACAAAAAAAAATCCCTTTCCTCAATATCCAGCAATTTTATGACTCTTAATTAAGCTTGGAGAATAATTAAAAACACTTTATTAAATTTTTTAGATTTTGATTTACTTTAGTTTTTTTTTATTCCTTTAATTGGTTTCTTTCTTCCTTGGTTTCTGTTTTTCTCCATTCTGTTTGATCTTTTGTTGGCGTTTTTTATGTCTGTTTTATTTCTCTCGTGACTTGACAATCGCTCCATCCCGTCCATCCTCGCTTCCCGACGCCTGTCTGCCATGTCTTGTTGGCTGCATGGTCTTGCACGTTGTGGGTCTGTGGAGCCATGAAGATTTAATCCCCTTCTTTTTCTCTCTTCCTATTTTGTGTCATTTCCTGTTCTTCCAGGGGACGTGCTGTTTCAAATGGCCGAGGTCCACCGCCAAATTCAGATGCAGCTAGAAGAGATGGTGGGTATCGTTCTTTTTTACTTTTGTCTTGCGTGGAACCCTTAATTCATGGCAGAAGCTGGCCAGGAGGACTGTTAGCCCATGATAACCTCACTAGGCAGCACTAGACCTGGAAACTGAATCGCTCCCTCCATTTATGGTGTTCACTGTGACATTGTAGAGATTTGCACTATTTTCCTGCAATGTATTTTCTAACAACCTTCACTGACTTAATTGTTGTCCCTTTCTCATTTTGGATTAACTGGCATTTTTCAAGCATGGCAGATTAGATGATTGTGCCCACATGAGTGTTAAGAGGAACAAGCCAGGGACAGGAACTGAAGAGGGTGCTTTCTGCATTTGGGCAGTTTGAGAGCTCTGCACTGCTCATCGTAACTTCACCTTTGAACTTTCCATTCTGTGTACCTCCAGTAATATTTCATGTGGCGGACCCGAGGCTGAAACCCCCACTCTGCTCCCTTTTCCACCGCCTGTCAGAGGAAGGGGCAGAGTGTCCGGTTTAAAAATGTGACACAGACATAAAGGGGAGTGAAACAATGGACACTGGCGTTTAGATTGTTCCCGTAGGGAGGAAGATAGTCAGCACCCCAAGCTGTGATTGAATAACCAAAAGGAAAAGAAGATTTCAGTCTTTCTGTACAAGGGAAATGGTATAAAACTTCTTTCGAAACTTCCCTTTGGCTGGCCTGTGTGGGGGTGGGGGGGAGTTTTTGTTTCTAATCTTCAAAAGCTGCTTTGCATAGGAGCCGCAGCTTACCTTGGGGAGCTCTTGCACGATCAGTGATTGGCAGTTAGCCCTTATTGATCAATTTTCTGAAACCTGTTGAATGGCATTTAAATGGTGGCTGAGCTGAGTGATGTCTACCCCTGTGCTTGTGAGGTTTCTGAAGTGATCCACACTCCTGTGTGGCTGTACACCTTTGTCTTGTTTGGGTGTGTGCGTGAGCTCTCAGGCAGCAGAATAAAGCATTCCGGATGACGACATGTTTATACTGGAGTGTCTCAAACTCCAACTGCTGACTGTGGACGGGAGCCAATCCATGTGATATTTACAGTACATTTTTTTTTTTACGCAACGGTCCAGTTTTGTGACACACTGTTAAAAGTAACAGCCCTCAAATTTCCCGCAACGGCAGTTTTTTTTAAACCCTTGCGTTTCTCTCTTACAGTTGAAATCCTTTCACAACGAGCTCCTCACCGAGCTGGAAAAGAAGGTGGAGCTGGATGCCAGATACTTGAGTGTGAGTGTACCATATTGCTCCTTGTCATGCACTCCAAACTGCTTGCCGAAGCCTGGTTGCATATCTGCCCTTCTCTTCACTGGAAGACGGCGTTCCCCACTTGGACACCTGCATTACTTTTGCAGGAGTTTCTGATGTTAACACTGCCAGAGGTCTTAATGGCATGGTTAAATCATCAGTCCGTGTTTTGTTCCTGCACTCCAGATGAGGCTATTTTTGTATGATTCCCATAAATTTAAAATAAGGGCCACTGGCTTGTTCAAGGTTGTAAATGAATTTGCCCTATCTTTCACTTGCGTCCAGATATGTTTGCTAAGCCATTTTAGCATTTATTTGCATTAAGTACCTTGGTTGGAATGCTAAATGTTTGACAATTGAACCATGATCCTCCACTGCAGCTCTGATCTTGAGCTACATAGTCAATCTCCAGCAACATGAGTTTCTCATCTATCGGATACGTACAGTTAATCTGCAGTGTACCTGCCCTCTGGATAGATACAGTATTAACAGTCTCCAATCACATGCCAGATTATTTCTTTGTGTGTCAAGGCTGACACTTTGTTCTGCGGGGAACAACGTTTTTGGAATTGACGTTGCACGGATGTTCTCTCTGTTATCCCTAAGTGAATAAAGCTCGCATTAGATCATTATTTCTACACAAAGTCTGTGGCCTGATTTTTATTCTTTGGGGAGAAAAGAAAAGGCCACTTTTTTGTTAATTCTTCTTGTTAAAAAGGCCAGTAACAAAATTATCTGTTTTTATGGATCAGCTCCTTTTTAATTATGCTGTGTCCCCCTGAGTAAATCAGGGCTAATTTCAATATATACAAGGAGGTCTTTATCATAATGAACATTTTATTTTTATTCCAGGATATTGTTTTTGACTCTAACATTTGCTGAGCCTTAAGGATATTGCTGTCTCTGTACAATGCAGGCCATTGTCTGAACTACACTGCACAAAGCTTGTTTGAAATGACATCCAATGATCATTAATGACTGATCTTATTCCCCTGGAGCTCATTTTAAGCAGCTGTCTTTATCTTTGGTATTTTCAGTATATTGTTGGAAATCTCTATTCACTGTGCTTTGATTCCTTCATAAAATAAAGGAATGGGAATGTTTGATGAGATTCATGTACTTTTATTGTACTGACCTCAGTCTATACAAGAGAAATGCTGTGGAGTCACAAATAGTGACATCAGACAGGAAAAGCATTGCAGTACTAGGGGACTGAGAGACGATTTGAAAACCATTATTTTCACTTCGGTAGATGTGCTGCAGGTGCCGCGATCCTGCTGTTGCTGCATTTCCCTTGCTGGTGCATGTGTAGAGCTGTCTCATCATCCCCCCCCCCCATGTGTCACTCTGCTGCCCCCGCAGGCAGCTCTGAAGAAGTACCAGATGGAGCACAAGAGCAAAGGGGAGTCTCTGGAGAAATGCCAGGCCGAGCTGAAGAAGCTGCGTAGGAAGAGCCAGGGTAGTAAGAACCCACAGAAGTACGGGGACAAGGAGATGCAGGTAAGCTTGGGGAGCTCTATGGTTCATTGTCTGTACAGCTATGAATGAGCGTTTCTTATTTTTGTGGCCAGACCCTTAACCGTGCCATTAGCTGAGTGACTATAAAAAGCCCATTGCAGTTCGTAGACTCCAGCCTGTGAAAGGTGATGAATGATAGTCAATCAACCCCCCCTAGTGACGATCCATGCAGTGAATGACTGACCGCTTGGCTTCTTGGCTGGTGTCTGCTCCTTCTCCCAGCATCTACAAAGATTCTGCTACACAGCCTGTGGCAGAGATGTAGTTTAATGTTCAGTGAGGAAACATCCTTCCCCATCCTTTATTCCAATGGTTTCCAGCCCTAGCCCTTGAGGATCAGTCTTCTTTTTTTTTCCTTTTTTTTTGCTCCAGCCCAACTCTTAATCACTGGCTAATGGATTTTACATTTTCCATCTGGGGCGTGTTCATAGTTTTGCTTACAGCTCCGAGTCAAATGGGATTTGTAAATTGGTATCATCCCTGTATCAATGTCCGAGTTTCAGAACTGCCCTCAGTCAGGTGTGCTGCCTGCGGTGTACCAGACTGGACCGCTGCAGGAAGGTTTGACTGTATTACCCCCCACTGCCATCTCCCCTTTATAGACTGCCCTCGAGGCGTCATGTGGCTGCAGAATAATGGGGACCCATAGTGTCCTGCAGTCTCCTCGGCTCACTGTGGGCTTTCAGGGACAAGAGGATACCTTTTTGAGTATTTTGTATTTCCAATTTCACAAAGAAATGAATGTATGGTGTTATGTGAACAGGCTACCTAAGCTGTGCTGGTGTTTCATCATAGGAGGCTGCATTTCATTCCTTTTTTTAATGGTTACTTAAGTAATCCTCTCAGCAGTAAACTGAATAGGGAAGAATCTTTATACTGTCGTTCAGAGTGGCATTTTTATAAATGTGCTTTTATTAAAAAAACGTTGCTGTTCTTCAGAGAAGCTCTGGGGCTGTAATTAGGTTTTTTCACTGGTTCTTTTCATTTTCATAAATGGATGAATATCTATTGTAATAATGCTGGAAGCCTGAGCGACCATGTTCAGGATTCCTTTCCAGCCTTCAGGGTTGTACTCCTGTGTGGGCAGAGAGCAGGGGATGTCAGCACAAAAGGTATTGCAATCAGATAGTCTTATATTATCATAATGGGCAACCCACTGTGCCCCTAACTGCTACTGTACGTAGGTGAGCTCTGGGCAGTGGGCAGCAGTAAGAAATTAAGTATGGGAGCTGTAATGCACAGATAGCCCCAATCACTCCTCAGTCTGTACGTCATACACGATAATAGATAGTGATCCTTGTTTCTAAACTAAAACCTCAAGCCTTCACCTTGGGGAGAGGAATTTCAAGACTTCTTAAAGAAGAGATGTGGTCCTGATTTATTTGACTATTATTTTTATCAAAGGTTCTGGTATTTCATTCAATCTGACCTATTTCAGCATCTCTGCTTAGTCTGAAAAGAGATGAATAGACCAAACTGTGTTTAATAAAAATATGGGTCTGCATAATACAGCTATGTTTCTTTTTTTAGAATCTTTTGTCAAAATCTGCTTGGTCTGGTTTTTATTTTGCCTCTACGTTTAGTAAGTCAGATCAGGTAAAGTGTATTCAGTGTTAACTTTCCTGTATCTGTTTCTGAGCAATAAAGCCTTGCAGTGCATGTTTATTTTTGTCATAATGTGGGCTTTCCTTTTTTTCATATGTTCACTAATTATTCATTCCAAAATCGGATATTGCAGTAAAGCTACAGTATTCACTGTGTTCACATGCCAGGCAAGTGTCTAAGCTGCCCAAAATCTTGGACAGGAAGTGCTATCCCTTCAGCAGACCTTCAGATTCATGTGTGCTAGTTGCACAGGTTCTCATACAGGAAGCAGGGATGTGCTAAGACTTCAGTTCAATACATTAAAAAATGCACATACTTGTGTAAATAGAGACCCTATTCGTAGCAGCATCTAAGTTCCCTGAAGTGTAAAAGGCTCCTCCAAAGATAATCACTATGGCAGATGGACGTTCATTGAGGTGATCATAAATCATTACAAAATCAAAACCTCTATGATTCAGTCTAGCCTTGAATTATGAGCCTACTGGGCAACTGCACGCCTTCCTGGTTTCTTGTGCGTCTCCTTTTTTTCCTGCCTTAACTGCGTAGACTATCCTCAAAAGCATTCAGCTGCAATTCATACTAATTAAGATCTGTGCGTACTTGCTTCGTTTCACCTGGTACTTGCATATACAGGGCCAAAGTGAGAATGTGCAATTTGTGGCTGTGAGCTCTTGGGTCTCTCCGCACGTCAGACACGGAGACACAGCCAGGTGCCAGGGGAGCCTGAAAACCTACAGCTTTGCAATTTCTTCACTTCTCCCAGGATTGGAGTGACAATTAGCTGAGTGGTTTCAGTGCGGTTTTGTAGCAATTGAGTAAGTGTTGGCTTGAGATGTAGCTGTGTGTGAAGTCCTGATATCCAGTGTCGAGTTTGAATAACCCAAAGGAACATTTCAGAATTAAGAACTGTCAACTGCATTGGTTTTTTTTTTGCATTCTTATCTGTTTAAAATGTTCTGCTGTCTTTTGGTAGGTCATATCCTTTTGTTCCTATACACAGGGACCCACCTGGCCTTACCAGGAATTTATCATGTACAGTAGATGAAACTCCACCCCAAAACTGTTATTAGACTGATAAATGGTATTAATCATTTTAAACACTTGCCAGGATTTGATCTGCAGTAAGTTCAAAGATGAAGTGCAGAGGTCTCAAGAGCCCAGTCTATTTATCAGACATCCTTCACAGGCACTAGCTGTATCCGGGAACTGTTAATTTCCAATAAATTAGCCATGATTTTCATTTGCATTCAAATCCCCAAGCTCCTTAGCCAAAGCCTGTGTCTGATTACTGTTTGATGCTATGATTAATGCAGAGAATCCCTGGGAGACAATCTGGGTTCCTTAGCCACACTGGGGCTGCTAACACCAGCTCTTACTCTATGTTCTCCTGTCTTGCTTAGCTTGTGTACTTCTTCAATTGAAGAGCTCATCCTTCAAAACAAACAGGCCAAGGAGTTTCTCTTAAAAATGGACTTACACCCTTAAGTAAAGGCTTGCCTTTTTTGGTGTACAATATTATACAATTTCTACCTAGAACTGGAAGAAAATGTCTTATACTATGAAGTTATCATGTTGAGTGATTTTTGTAATAAGCATATGAAAAGGACTTTAAAGGCCCATTACTCATTGTTTGGCTTTTTTGCAGTAGTAAAAGCAGTGTAGGTTTGACAGTACAGTACAGTTCTGACCAGGTAATTACATCTTTTGAATAGAGTGCTGGAAGCTAGTGATACGTAAGTGTATCCATAAGAAGTTATCAGCTTGGTCCTTATGTTATCTCCAGCTAAAACAAAGTAAAAGGCATTCATTCAAACCCGTGAGGTCCATGTGGGTTTTGGAACACTGCACTGTACAACCACATCAGTGCTTGCATGTGTATTCAAACCGATCTTCCAAGAATACATCTCTGGATGGTCTATGACACTCCTTTAAACCCCTCACTTAATAAATTGAGAAACTGATATACATTATACATGCATGTTCTGATTTCCGAAGTTGGGTTAAAAAAAACATTTTAGTTCATGAGTACTAATGTGGTAATAACCCAGTATTTCAATTGCAAGATCACCAGCAAGTCTCCTTTCCCCTTAATTCCTTTTGGCTTTTTTTCTTTCTTTTGAGTTTTCATAATTTTAATTAAGAGCTCTGTAGTTTTCATCGTAGTTTTTTTTACAGAGCTCATTTGCCGAGACCTGAGGACTCACAGAGAGGTGCTCCTGCTCTGCTTTTTTGTGGCCCATGTATTTCTTCTTCACGGCAGCATCAGCATCCCCACTGTATCGAGCTCGGGGCTTGCCCGCGTCTGAGAGTGCAGGAAATGGGGTGGTTAAGAGCTCCTTTCCGTCACTTGCTCGTCTGCAGCAGATGAGCTAGAAAGCCACTTGACCACAGCTCTCCACAGGCACTGTCCCACGCACCCCAGTGACGCGCATGTGAGAGCCTGGCGTAGGATAAGTCACAGCCCAGAGATGTGCCTGGAATGCAGTATACCTGGAACATCTCTCAAGCCTTTCATCCTTTGATCTGGCTGTTCCCGTCAGCAGAGTATGGATGTATTTATGCATTCATTTCTTTGTTTGACAATGTCTGCAACCATGAGTACTATAATATTAGTTTCATATTATTTGCTTTCTCCTAATTTGAAACAAACTGCTTACAAAGATCATTTTATTTTGTTTTCTGGGTGTTATCATACATCTTCAGAGTGCTTGGCTTAAGACAAGTAGTCATGAATGGAATAAAAACTCTACAGAATTCACTGCACACAGTGGCGTGAGTTATAATAAACGGTATTAATTATTGTTAACCCCTTGAGAAGCTAGGTTTGGGGGAAAAATGCTCTCGGGTCGGAGAGTTTTGATTTTTCTGTGCAGTTCAGAAAATGCCTTCAATTATTCATTCTTTGAAGCAATGGATGGATGTCTTATCTCTCCTGTTAGTGAGGCACAAGAAGGGACACTTTGCCTGAACTGTGCAGTTTTTGGAATTTCTTCTGGGCTAAGGATGGTCAATAGATTTGGAGGGTCATTAGCTGAGTGCCAGACCTATGACACATATTCTAAGTGTCCTACGTCTTGAATCGTGACTCTTTAACTAAAACGCCTTCACACGTGAGATGTCTAGCCAGATGGTTTATTTTTGCTCCTCAGCGTGGAATTTTATTAATTCCATTTTAATTGTAATTTTTAAATTATTGTTGAATAATGCTCCATATGGAAAAGAAATGTAGCTTTAATTAGATCAGGCAGAGTATGATTCAATTAAAATCTCCAGTAAATGATGACAGTTTTGTTCTTCACATGTGACGAATGTGATCTTGGAGTAAATTAAAGCTTATTAAAAAATAGGTCTGATTTCACTCCACACAGGATCTCGAATACCAGTGCCATAACTCATAATGTAAAAATACATTTATAGGAATTTACTGCTGACAAATCATATGTGAATTTGTCAACTTAACCTTGGCAACAGAAAACATTAGATGTATCTTAACCAAAATAATAGAATTGATATATTTTTTTCAAAATTCATATTCAAGTGGAAACTCCTTTACATCTATTTTTACATGCAGTCATTGTTTGCCAGTAGCAAGTGTTTTACTGTGCTGTAATTTATGATCCAAGTTGGTAGGGGATTTCTTTGGACTCCCTTCCCACTGAGAGCTCGACTGAACTGGCTTTGATGGAGAAATGGTGAAATGTTTTTCGAAGCAGTTGTTCTGTCGCCATGGAGAGCGAAAAAAAAGAAACATTCTGCTCTCAAATTTGGAGAGCAGAATCTAATTTTAATTATTTGTACAGCTAGTTTGTTGCATATTTATAGCTGCTCTCCTTGCGGATTGTGTAGAATTTCATTAATATTTGAGTAGTCTTACCAGTTCTAGTTGGTGTTCAGGATGATCATTTTGATTAGAGGAAATGGGCTGATATTCAAAATGTTAACAGACATAAGTGAGTGAAATAAATCTGCAGACCCCATAAAGACTTAAAATGTAAGGGAAACAAATGGTGAATGAGAGGAAAAAACAAAAGATACAAGTATGTCATATCCATTTTAATGCATAAAATTGAAGAGTACAACCAGAAAACTTGTTTCTCTCTGTCATTAAAATGCATTTATTCATTTATTTTCAGTCTATCCCATGACTCAACCTCTCTGCTTTCTTGAACCTGTGATTTGATCTGGTGCATTGCAGTTAGATTTATCAGCGATATTAAAAAGAAATTTCAAGGATCGTTTCCGTGAGCTTCCCCATTGCTTTTCTCTTTCAGTGTTGGCAGTGCTGTGGTACCAGGTTTTTAGAGCATACAGTTCGCCTTGTATAAAGGAAGGGGACTTGATGAAATGAGTACATTAGCATTTTTAAGGATGATAAATTGGAATTTTTTTATAAAACTGGTAACTTTGATGCAATATGTATTGCAGGTTTTCCACTAGTGCTCTAAGACAAAATGTATTATACAGTATGTGGGCTTGGTGTGGCAAACTAAAAGTCTCTCTGTTAAGTTTGTTTGGTACCTTGGATTGGGTATACCAGCAATTAACATTTGGCCGCCTTATAATCCAAGCATTTTAACTGCATTTTAAGACTACGTGTGCTGTTAACGCACAGTAGTGCAATGGAATAAGAAATATGACCCTGGCAGACATGAGAATTTTCTAATCTAAAGCAGCTCCCTCTGTAATGTGTTCAGTCTGAGTGGTGCTGGGCTCAAATCTCCCACTGACCTGTCAATCTACTGTGATTGATGAGTTTCTCCTAAGCCCTGTGCATTCTGCTTGCTGCTACTGTGAAAAACTGAAAACAGATCTTGCACTGCTCACTCACCTGCATTATAGAGGCTGCAGGCCCTACAAAGCCCCTTGTGAATATACCTGATCACTTGATCTTCCTCTTTATTACTACCAGATTCAGGCCCTTATCTATATATAGTGGCTCATGGCAAATTCATTTCTTCCCAATCTTTATACCTCTGATCTATATATCAGTCCACCTGGAAAATATCCCATTCTGCTTATGTGACTGTAACAAAGTGAATTGCTTTTTGAACAGCATAAAGAAAGGGAGGGGATAGTGATTTTGGATATTTCCCAGAATATAGTACAATGTCTCACATGACATTTGTTGAGGTACAGTATTATTGTGATATTACTTAGGATTTGTACGCCATGATTTGCTTTGTGTGTTACTAGAAAAGCTTTGTGAGTGCTGTGCAGTAATTACACTGGAATGGAGACTGCTAGTGAATCATGTCCTTATCAGCTGTAGCAATCTTTTTCTCTCTCTCCTTTAACAATAATTATTTGGCTTGGAAATAAACTAGAAAACCTGCACTGGGGAAGACCAAAATATAACTTACATTTTCTTCTGTTCACTGTAAAGTCTCCTCTGCTAAATTCTAACCACACAAGCAGAGCTTGGATGTTCTCAGAAAAGACGGCAAACTCGGTCATTAATTGTATTGCACACAATATGTATAACTGACTCCCTCTGGTGGTGTAGCCGTGCATAGGTTTTTCAGTCTTCAAATTAAGCTCTTGACAGGAAAATTGAGGATAGGTGCGTGAAGGACTTCCTGCCATGGTTGAATTTCATTGCTTTACAGTGCTGTTAATCAAATTATTTTGAAAAAGTCATGAATCAAAAGTACTAGTACTGCACTGATGTGTAAAACTGCCTGTCACCATACCATCTTCAATCCAGCTGATATTGCTCCTTTTAATTTTGTCCTTCGTCTTCTTTAATAAAATTCTTTGTTTTTGCAAATAAGAATACTGAGAGCAAAAAGAAGTGTGAAATGGGAAGAACAAATCTTAATAGACAATCATTAAAACGGTGTGCTGACAATCTGTTCAACCCTTCTCATTTCCCACCTCTGAAAAATCTTTAATACCTGCAGACATTCATACTCCTCTTTGTCCAAAAGAAGAGATTGATTTAGAGACTTCAGTGAGTTCCAATTGTGTTGATCTGTAACGCAATAAAGAATGACTAAGGAACAGGAGCTTTTTGATATGAAATGTGCTATCATGTCCCTCTTAAATGAATTAAACTTGAAGGGCCTGGGTGCTGCAAAAGTCTTTGTTCAGAGTGGCATTGAGAGTAATTTATTTAATGACCACTTGCCTATAGACTGGTCAGGGTGTGATTCCTTTGTCACCTGAACCTTTTCCTTCTTAACCCTCCTGCCATTTAGTAGTGATGTAACAAATTCTAGTTGCTATTCTAACAGAGGGTGCCACCCTTTTTAAGGCAATTAGTTTTGTTCAGAACTTTCTGAAAACCCTTGTGATTTTTAAAGAAAATCTGGTCTTTAATTGACTGTCATTTAAGAGTGAATTGAATAAATGTGTGGAAATGACTTCTTTGCGCCCAACTCTAAGTGAAAATTACACCACTAGTCTTGGGTTGGGTTCCTGGAGATCCTGCCCTGGTGTTTTCTCAGGTTGGAACACAAAGATGAAGTCAAACAATTAAGCTAATTGTTTTCTTAGATATACAAGATATTTCTTAAGGTTTTTCACAGCTGATTACTGAAACTAACTTAAATGTTGTACATATAACTATCTTAACTAGACTATGAGGTGTACGAATTATATGACTAATTAAATATTTAAACCAACTATGTGGACCAAAAACCAGGTGGCACAATGCTCTCTAGGAAGCGAGTTTTAGACCACTATGGAACAGTGACCTCTTGATTCAATGAAAGTTTGAAATAAAAACTTATTCAGTTTTTAGATGTTTTCATCTCAAGCATGGTGTTTGCCTCACATCCAAAACAACCCATGAACAAATTTAAATGTAGATATTTAGTGTAACGTTTGTGTTACTTGGAGGTTTACCTAACCTAACATGAACCTCATCACTGTGGTGCCTCTGAAACTCTTACACAGCATTTAAGTCACTCCTGAAGTGCGAATCTCACAGGAGAGTTTTGATAGTGCCAGTGATTAAAGTCAATATGGCTAATGCACTATTAGACTCTTGCTTGCATTCTAAGGAGAAGAAAATCACTGCAAACACCTGGTTAGTCCTCTATTAGGAGTCCCTAATAGCGCTGACTTTTCCATCCGTCAGTACCAAACTCTCTAGACGGGACTCCTGTGAATTTTAGCAGCATAGCAATAATAGGAATAGACAATGTTTTCATTAGACTTGCCTTCAGCAAATTTCAAATCAGTTCTCTTGGAAATGGTACACTGTTGTTGCCTGCAGTAAAAAGGGGCTGAACAAGCAGCACTTATTTCTCTGTAAAATGTAACATGCTTGACAGGAGAAACAATGATGAAATAACACCAATATTTATTATAAGCCAAGGGAAGTGGAATTCTGCTCAAACCTGCTGTGCCCATGATTGTAAAAGCGCTGTAATTGCATCTTTGTAAATGATTGTCAAGTAATCTATACGCAATTGATCTTGATTTTTTTTTAAAAATGTGACATTTTAGATTTAAAAAAGTTTATCAATACTTACAGTAGGATGTTTACCTTTGTGCAAATTCTGCACAAAGGTCTTTAAAAGTACAGTATTTAACGCAGACTTCAAAATAAAAACATCTTTAATTCTGTACCAAGTTTTATCACACACACCGTGATGTTTATAAAGTTATAATCAATAAATGCTTCGCGCTAAGTTCCATTTATCAGCTCCACATATAAATAATATTCTTTTAAGCAGCAAAAGCTTTACAGTTCATGACCAGGAATCGGCAGTTCTTTGATGGATGCCTCTTGGTCTGGTTTCCTTGCCTGTATACAGAATTGATTTTGTCTTTTTCAGTATGTGGAGACCATCAGCAATAAGCAGAGTGACCTTGACCACTACGTTGCAGAGGGGTACAAAACGGCACTGTCAGAGGAGAGGAGGAGATACTGCTTCCTAGTGGAGCGCCAGTGTGCCGTGGCCAAGAACAACATTGCCTACCATGGCAAGGTAAGAGCTCCAGGATTCTGGCTTAATGGTCTTCTCTTTCCAGAGATGTTCACTGGAGCTATAACCTCACTGCAGATGCAGTTCATTTTCATTGTGAATTCGCTTCAGCAGAATTGATTAGATGCTAGATTCTGCCTATGAAAGACAGACCGGGTTTGAAAGCAACCACATCTGGTGGGGACTTACACAGCCAGTATTACCCAGATAAAATGTAGAAAAGCCAGCTCAAGTCATTCTTTGGAAACAGGATCTCCTGTTTCCCTGCCTTGTAATTTGTGGAGGGAGGCAACAGTGGCGGCCTTGGTAAAGTGGCCTGAGCACCAGCTGGAGCCCCAGCTGCTAATGAGTCCACAGTGCGTGGGAAGGGCCTTTACACAGAACGGCAAAATGTTCTTGCCTTGAAGCCCAAGAGAGCCTGTAAAAGAGCTGCTGGGGGGGGGGGGGGCTCATGAGTCACGGGGGGGGTTCTGCTTCACAGAGAGAATCCCCCTCGCTCCCCTTCGTTCGCTCACCCATGGTGCAGTGATGAGCCCCAGTTAACGAACAATGAGACGCCGAGCTCCTTCAGTGGGCACAAAGAGAAGGTGTGCGCGGGGAGGTAGGTGGGGGGGGGGGGATTGAAAATCAGCGTGTCACTGAGTACTCCTACCCACCAGACCTGCAGAGGCTGCCTACGGCGCACTTGCTCACGTTCTCCCATGCACGTGTGCGTGTGTGTGAGGATCTGTGGAGTGTGCACTCGCCCAGCTTGCTGACTAAATAGGACATGTGCTTGCTCCAGTTTTCTCACTGCCCCTGTTCTGCTCCCCTGGGGGTTGAAATCGCAAAACCTGGTAGACATTGACTGAAAAAAAAAGACCTTACATGTACTGGATTTTGCCCGAGGTGTTACAGATTATAGGTGCAACTCCTCTGAGCTTTTCTGACACTGGTTTGGGGCTCTTTTTCTTTTTAATCCGATGCGCTGTCGAGGTCCGGGGGATGGGTGGTTTTGGAAGGTTTTTGGCAGGTCTTGTTGGCCAGAGGTCACCAGCCTGGTTGTGACCCAGGTTTCCTGCAGGTACACGGCGTGCATTGGCACTGAGGCCCTCTCCGGTAGGGGGGGGGTAATTGCCTTGGCTCGCTGCTCAGACTCTGCCTCCGTGTCGTCTCCTGCTGATCACCCACCAAGAGAAGACGACCCTGGCCAAGCTGATCTCGCTGCCACCACTCTCTGTATCGTAGCTGGGTGCAGGGAGGCATCTGGCCGCACAGTGGAGTCAAGCGACTCCTACTGCTCTCAAAGTTAATCAGACCCAAACCTGGGAAGGAGGAATGCATTTGGAATAAAACATCAGAAAGTGAACAGGGGCTAATATAAGTCTGCAATCAAAGGAGAAAGCTGAAAAGGCAATAACACCTACAGGCAATTCTTTTGCTTGCTCTCTCAATCTCTCAAAAGGGCTGTGCAGTTATGTAGGAACTCGGCAGTGTAATGAGCTATTTATTGCTGTTCTTGACAGAGGTGAAGCTGTCAGCTGCTGAGGGTGATGGCTGAGAGGGTTTTGATTTTGGGAAGTGCAGCATATTATCTCTTCAAACAGAAAGGATCAGTAGACTGATCCTTCAGCAGAGTCTCCCACCCACTGACACATCTCTACTGCACAGGATTTGTAAAATTGCCTGTTAGCCCACTTGGTGTTGCACGTTTCATCAGTGATGCCCTATTGTAGCTCTAAATTCTAATGGTCTCTGAAAGGTAACTTAAACACCTCCACAGGGATGTCTCTTTTTAATCTGGTTCAGAATAAGTGACACACCCATTTTCCACACTGTTACTTTTTACAGAACTGCTATTTAAAACAAATCATTCTTATTTGCATGTAAAAATTTTTAAATAAAATTGAACTAGCTGTTATTCCAAAAGTGGGCCTACTTTTTTTTTTTTTTTTTTTTTACAATCTTTGATTTTTTGCAGGTAATACTATCCTAAGATAAAAATGGCACAGTGACATTGGCGATTCTGGAGAGATGTTTTATCTTTATTTTCAACAAAACTTAACCTACCAGGTTCCTTAAGGATCGTGGAGCAAGAGATGAAGAGACAGTAACAGCAACAGATCTGCTGCCGTACAAAGGAATGAGTGTCACCGGCTCAGTGCCCCTTGTCTCGTTTTCTCCACAGGGCAAAGACTTGCTCACCCAGAAGATTCCAAGCTGGCACCAGGCCTGCTCGGACCCCAACAAGCTGCCTGAGCGTGCCATGATCCTGGCACAGCAGATGACATCGGCCAGTGGCGGGACCCTGATCTCCAGCCCCCTACACTCCTCCAAAACGAGCCTGGTGATCTCGGATCCTATCCCCGGAGCCAAGCCCCTCCCTGTCCCTGCAGAGCTGGCCCCCTTCGTGGGGAGTGGAATGGGTCACCAGGGGGTGAGTCCCTTTCTATATTTGTTCCCATTTAATTCCTGACCCGCCACAGTGAGACGTCATTTTGAAACGGAAAAATCAGAAATTCCATCCGGTTTAGATCAAGTTCCAGCCCTCGTTTTTAGCATTCAGCTCACCTTGCCTAGAGGCTCTCTGTGTCTTTTATAGTCTAGTAATTTTCCACAGCTCTCTTGCATGTCTCAGCAGACACAAACGGTGGCACTGTTCATCCTTTCCTGCTTTAAACTATTGAGAAAATCACTTTTACCCCACATATACCTTAGACTGACTTAAGGTACTGAATCTCAAGAAAATGGAACAGCTGACAGTTGCTGGACATAATGCTAAAAAACTTTCTTGCTGCCCTGGTGAAGCATCCTTTGGATTGTATGACTTGACTATAATTCTTCAAATCCCCTCCAAACACACACATACCCCCTCTATCCTCCTTCCTCTGCAAAGTTCCGTTAGAGACACTGTAGGATGTCACTAATTTGAGAGCCAATTGGAGGACATTGCTGTAATCCGGACAATATGCAGGATATTCCAGCTGGGCCTTTTCCAGACTTAGTGCTTCTGTCCTGCTGTTCAGGGCATAGCTGAAAGCTGCCTGTGGAGGTACTTAATAAAGAATCTTAGATAGCCGATTTGATATCTGATCCAAGCTTGTATAAGTACTGAAATTGGACTACCACTCATAACGCTTTCTGAAAAAGTTGTTTTATTGACCTGAGAAAACAACTGCCTATCCAATGCAACAGAACAAATGAGCAATTTCATTTGTACATTCTTGTTCCCTTTTTAATAGATCAAACTGTTACCCCTTTTCTAATTCCTTAATTCTTGCCCAGCTAAAAAGCATCTTCGTAATATAATTATAAAGAAAGTTGAAAGTTATAGACTAGTCCTAGGTCCTTGCTTTTGGACATTGTGACAGATACAGTAAAGCATATTCAATAGAAAAGAAAGAGAAAGAAATCCTTTGAAATTTTCTCCTCAGTTAAACTGGAAGTTCTGGCATTGACTGGTGTTTGACTATCTTTCACCCTCAGGAATATGTTGCAGTCCTCAGATCTTCCTCTGCGGCATCCTTTCTACATTTGCTTTGAAATCACGCCAACCCTGGCTAGCTTTGAGACCTGGCTTGTGAAATATTTAGAGGCGAGGTCAGCAGGACCCAAGCAAAACTGCCTACTTCTGCCGAAGCGTTGCAGAAATGTGTTCTGCTGATTTTGTGTTCTGCTGTATAAAGTCCTTTCCCTATTATGGCGTGGTTGTGGTGCTTAGATTTTTTTTTTTAACAGGATTTAGTAACTTTCTCCTCCATTTCCCCCATCCATGCATTACAGGTGTCAGCATTTTAAGTGTTCACTTTGGATCAAAGCTACACAAAACCTCCCTATCAGTAGTTCAATGCATCAGCACAGAAAGTCGACCCACACACAGCAGTGATAAAGGGGGAATTAAACAATATGCATTTCCTGTACTGCAGCGTTGGTATCAGGCCTAATTAAGTCTCAGAATTAAATCTGTAGGGAGGCATGTTTTTGGATTAGAGGAAGGAATTTGACGACTTGTAGACTTGCCCCTCCTTACTGGCCTATGAATACAAATGAATTTAAGATCTACATATTAATCACAAAGCTGGAGCAGAGGCATTACTGTGTCTTCTGTGATCTATTTTTTTTCCTCAATGAAAAATGTTCCCAGTCTGAGTCAATTGTTTTTTGTCTGCATAAATATGCTGTTAGGTCTTTTACCTCCTTATAATTTTATAATGCCTTGTGATGTCCTTGCCGGTAGACCTAGCTGTTTGTGAGCTGGCTATCTTTTGTTAAATTCATCCCAAGTTTAGCACTGCAAAATAGATGTTTGTGCGTAAGTTGACAAGTTGGCAAATTGCTAACATAAATGCACACTGAAGCCCTACGGCAAAAGTAATGGTTAATCCACTAATTCTGTATTCTTGTCTTCCCAAAGTAAAAAAAAAAAAAGTGGCAACTTGCACTTTGGAAATTGGAGTAATATGGTAATCTGCCAATCAATGTGCACACAATGTAAGTTGACACTAAGTGTAAATTGTAGCAGCTCAGCTCATACAAATGAACCTGTATGTTTGCAGAGGCTGATGGGGCCAGATGGGATGCCCATGATGAATGGCACAGCTGGTGTAGGCCATGGGGAGGACTACTCACACTGGGTTGAGGGCAAAGCAGCACAGGCCAAACCCCAATCTCCTGGGCAACAGAGGCAGCTAAGTGAGGTCTACTCCAACACCTTGCCAGTGCGCAAGGCAGCCCCCTCCAAGAGCAAGGCCCCGCTGGGTAAGCAAAGGCTCGCTTTGTGTGGGCGACTTGCCACTGATTTATCCAGCTGTTCTCTTTAAAGCAGCGAATTACTTGTCTAGTGACAGAAGACTTTTAATTCATGTGATAAGCAAGGAGGTTTTTCCTTGGAGATAGAATTATCCCGATTTTAAAATTGTGTCCTTTCTGTTTCCGGACCAAAAGCTAAGTCCAACCAGAGGCATGATGTGTACCAGAAAACCTGCACAGTGAAGCATTTGCTCTAGTTAAATACATTACTTTCTCTAGGTTGTGTGCTTTAGAAAACTTGGAATACAACGGTTAAAACTCATCCATCTGCTCCCCCCCCCCAGCCGAAAACAGGACGCTCCCACGGTCCAGCTCCATGGCAGCTGGCCTGGAAAGGAACGGTCGAACCCGGGTCCAAGCCATCTTCTCCCACGCTGCAGGGGACAACAGCACCTTGCTCAGCTTCTCTGAGGGCGATGTGATCACCCTGCTGGTGCCCGAGGCCAGGGATGGCTGGCACTATGGCGAGAATGAGAAAACCAAACTGTGAGTGTCTACTCCTGCAGGTGTCCTGTACCCTGTGCCCAAACGCAGTGCCTTCCACAGGACGCGCATCTCGTCTAGCGGCACACTTCTACCCTTCTGGTTAGAATTTAGAACGGACCACCTCTGTTGCCAACAGTCCGTTTTTACAGATTGTGGATCATGCTTTTGATTCCAGAAAGCGTTACGGTTAATTCCTTTGGGGGGAAAGAATGATTTACATAAAATGGGTAGAATGGCTCAGACGTTCACATACTATAATAGTGATCGCGGTGCAATTTCAAGAACTTTCAAGGATTCTCAAGTTAAACGTGGTTGATCAGTCTTTACTGCTTCATCCTTCAGCCTTTCTCTATAATCATTCGGCCTTGTTTACTGAAATAATCATTTCTGTGTTCCAGACGTGGCTGGTTCCCTTTCTCTTACACCAGAGTCCTCCCAGACAGTGAAGCGGACAAGCTCCGTGTGAAGTGAGTCTATGTGCACTTCATGTCAGCTGCAGCATGTGTACCTTGTTGCTGATTGATGGGGAAACAGTCCTTAACAATGTTGAAACCCACTTTTCTAAAAGAATGACATTTTAGTTTGACAAGTACGAAGATGATTGGATGGAAGCTACTGTACGGACATCTCGATGGGACTTTTGACCTGTGACCTTCTGCTTGCCGTTACTCATTTTCACAATAAAAGATATGACGATTTGCATATGTGCATTATCTTTAAAACATGGTTGTTATCGGTAACAATTGGTCAGACTGTCAGAATCAGAGCTTCCTCTTCATAAAACGTGCCCTCTGAAAGCAGGCTGAGCAGCTTCATGCAGGATGATGTAATCTTTCTTATGTTTTAGAAAATGGTTATTGAAACATTGTGCGAGTATGAGCCCTCTGACAGTTTATTTTCTGGATTGTCTTGCATTTCTTTGTCCGTTTGAAATGCCGGGGGTTTTGTCTGTAAGCTCCCATGTTTCTCAAAGTGTCCTGAAGACATTGCAATGCAGTTACAAGTAACGTCTGGTCCTCTCCAGCTTGCATCATGGGAAGAGCAGCAGCACAGGGAATCTGCTGGAACGCGATGATCTCTCCCTGCCTCCTCCAGACTATGGCGTGACCTCTAGACTCTTGGCACAGAGCGCAGCACACGGTCGGCCTCGCCCTTACAGTGTGGCAGTGCCAGTCTTTCCTCAGGTAGGTACTAAAGATAACTTATCCACATAGCAACTTCCACATAGCACCCAACTCCCTAAAGATGGCACAGACTCCTGGAAGGTGGGGGAAAATGGTATGTGTGTTTATTCTACCATGTAGAAACCCTTAAGCATTGATATAGAATTGCAATTTTTAGTGTTTCATATACTGTTTGACTGCTATAACCTGTTCCTGATGCTTCTTGAGCACATTGTAAATATTGTTGATATGGAAGGGATTTCATTCTTCGTCTGCAGTAATCAATAGTATAGAACAGAATCAACTGGAATTAATTGATTTACAGAAGACATGAAATAAAGATGAAGGTACAAGACAAGGTTAATATCTCAGCAGAAAGGCTGCTTGATGTCATTCCCACATTTCTGTGCTGCTGTGCAACATGCTGTCATGTATCAGTCAAGCTTGATTTGAGACATCTTTCAGGTGTGAAGGCTGGAGAATTGCTGTTTGGTGCTGGATAATCCAGATCTACAGTAGGAGCTAACATCTCCTAGGCAGCTAGATTTTACTCTGAGGACGTTTGTAACCCAGTCGTTTTTCGCAGTCGTATTGGAATAAGGTTTGAGAAGGAAATGTGCACCTCCCAATGGTGATTCGCTTTCCCATTATTTCACCCAATGCTGGTAACAAAGTGAATCTGGCAGCTTTATTACAACACGTCAGGCCTTGTTACAGATCAAGAGGATATGGAGGGATAAATTGAGTCTCCAGGTAATCTGTAATTGAAAGAATCACTGATGGAACAAATTTTCTCCCTGGACTCTTCATAGTCTTCTAGGCTGACTGCAGTCTGAGTCCAGGACTAAAAACCTTGATTTAAAATGACAGCATTCTCCACTGTTTGGGGCTCAAAATCTTTTACACAGACTTGAAAATTTGCATCTCAGGTCATGTTTCTAGTCAATATACTGTAGGAAAATAAGAAATGAAGCAGATGGTTTAATAGTTTAGATGGAAATCTCACAAGCATACAGTATACATATTCCTGAGATTAAATGTAGGTGGATGATATCTGATCCAGGTAATCCTATTGCTATTATTTTTTTGTTAAAATGAAAAAATGACATAAGACTTTATGGTTGAAATCTCATCTTTAAGTAAAATGCTTATCTAAGGTTTATCTTGAGTGTTTTCTTATTCTTTTCTCTGTTAAATTCAGACTGAACATATTTTAATAGTGTATCTTTTTATAAGTCCCTTAAATATGCACTTTTATTATTTGGAGATCCAAGACGCTTGAGGGGAGTTCCTCTATTAGGGCTGAATCGGAAAGGACTGTGCACACCTCCACTTCTCGTTTTACTTTGTCTTTGTCATCTCCTTCCCTCAAATTGACAGCGAGTCTTCTAGTGAGGCATCTGGTCTCAGCTGGAAGGGGCACAGACACTTTCACTCTCCTCAGAACTGACAGCTGCTCAGAGACCTCTGTCTCTGACTCCACACTGACTGGATCTCTTCCAGACAGCAGTGTGGAGTCACTGGCTGGTGGTACACTGCAGTCGGTAGGTGCTCTGCTAGGCTGACCTTCAGTGTATTTTTTTTTCCCCTTACAGATCAAATATACTTTAAAAATGACAGGAGCTACAATACCTAGGAATGAGGAATGTATTTTCTATTTTCTAACCACTGATATTCTCTGGGTTTTGAGTGCAGTCTAGCGGACTTTATTAGCATGAAAATGTCTGAAAATGAAAATATCTTAGTACAAATTTCCCAATTTTAATTTTCTCTCTTGCAGCAAGGGCTGGAAGATTATGAACCACGATTTCCCACCAGGTAAGTTTTCCGTTTTTCCTTCCAGTTTTTTTTTTAGATCTAGATTTATCAACAGCACAAAATAATTCCACCAAAACACTGGAAAAAAATTAAGGGGCTTTAAGAGGGGTCAAATGTTCAGATGTTATGCAGTTGTAGGCCGTAGGTGGTAGCCAGACTTTGGTAGCTGAGCTTATTACTGGGTTCTTTCAAAAATGGATTGGGTCTCTTACCAAAGCCACGCCTCTAAAAGCAGACTGTATAAATGTAAAAAGGGCACTTTGGATTTTTCTTTGTGAGATAACATGATAGAGCTGCAGGCTTTAACTGTGGAAAAGTTTCAAAGATTGTTTAATCACTCCAGGCTTATGTTCTGAGGTGTTACTATAATTATCGATTACCTCCTAGAAACCTGCTCCGAGGCAGATCCTCCTGCTTATTAAAGCATCTACTGAATTTTTTCTAACGATACCCATGATTGCAAACTGGATTTTATATTTTTAGTCCTTTCCGAAGCCTGAGTTGTTCTAGACTTTGGCGTCACTAGAGCACTTTTTTTTTTGCCTTACTAAATGTGAGCACTTTAAAAAGACTAACTTTTGTTTCCTTTTTAATTGAAACTCATATTAATTTTCCAAAACTTGAAGACTGTATAGCACATTGAACATGCGTCTTCTAGACTTTTACCCATATAGCAAAATGTGTAGCAATCTGCAGACAAAGCCAGGACAGGTAGCTGTATTAACATCCTCAGTGAACACTCTTAGGTCTACAATTCCCTTAGGCCCAGAGAATGCCAGCGTGGCAAACAAAAATCTATACAGTACATGTGCCAACTTCCTGCTGGTGCCAAGTCAAGCATTTGGCCAGTCTGAGCTTTTAGCTTTATCACCACTAATCATTTGAAAACATTTAATCAGAACAGTGCAAGAATTGCAAGGATTATGGACCTCAAAGAATGGAATAGAAATGAGATAATGAAGCAGTATCAGAGCAGAGTGTAGGGTGATTCTGTAGCGCCCCCTTCCTGTCTGAATGAGAGTCTGTGAGGTGGGAATGTTGGCTTGCAGAGATTCACTTGTGAAATGGTGGAGGGGGTGGGGGGATGTTGGGGGTGGCTTATGGTAAAGGAGCTTCTTCTGAAAGCAGTGGATTCCTCTTGCATAACTACTACAAGAGCTTGACTGGTACCAAAGCTCCATTTTTTTGCAGTACATCTTCTGCCAAGGACAAGCTAAAGCAAATCAAACACAAACTTCATAACAGCTGGTTATCTGGCTGGTCCACATCTTTCCTGCAATAGCACATGCATTTGACCTTGTTTGCTAAGGTTTGTTTTTTTGCAGCAGACATCCTTTTACTAGGATTTTTTTAAATGACTTATACATGAGCCTGGACCCCTTAGTAATTAAAGGAGGGGTGTAAAGTGAGAGAGCCGTTACTCTCTAATGAAAATTAATTTGGGTTTCTACAAATAAAAGCCCTCCCACCTACTGTATCAGTATAGTCCAGACATGAGCCTATAAGAGTTGAACAGTGGTAAAGGATTAATTGTGTAATATCCCATTGATGGACTGCTGCTTAGGACCATATTGAGTTCTGATCATGTACATTTTTGATGATTTTTTCTTTGATCAATAATCAATCAAACATGGCAAACTGTTCACTCGAGCGGGTTTCTCTGTACTGGGGTATGGGCTCCCCAGTTCTGCCGCCTGCTTGTGAGGAACCTTTTGGTTGCTTTGCTGAGCGAGTCAGACCTGGCAGCTTCTTCCTCTCTTTGTTCCACAGTTCCGATGGCAAATTGATTTCGACAGTGTGAGGACAGACAGACTCAGACAGACTCAGCCAGCCCTGAATAGGACAGGCCCGAGCCCCTCCCCCCCTCCTTCCTCCTCTGCTTTGGAAGAGGACAATCCCTTCCTTCCTCCTTCCACCGGCCTGCGTTTCCTTTAGCTGCGTTACTGTTAGCTGGCGGGGAGGGAGAGGGCGCTGTTCGCAGAGCCCAAACGCTGCCCGACGCTTTGCCTTTGCAGCTTGGATTTCCTTTTTTAGTGAAATCCTTTAAATGGACTACTCTGAAGAAACTGTATTTGCTTGTCTTTCATGCATGTACATGGATTTATATATGACTTTCCTGTAAAAGAAAAAAAAAAACGAAGATCTCATGGGTCATATGCCGTAATGTAAAAAAAGTTTTCATGAATAAATAAACGCTTATATACACAGGTGTGGAGTAATGTAATCAGTACCAGATGGGAGAAATATGCATAGTGCATATTGTTGCATCAGGTTTAATCAGTCCTAACTGTTTGTTGAGTACTCTAGCTTATGTAACTATTTTTTTTCTATTTTTGAAATAGAAGCTTTGCAGTTAAATACTTAATTCCCTTATGGAAACAATCCCATACAGAAGTCTGAATGGTTATTGCTTCTATTTTGAAAAATTGCTCTTTCTTCAGAACAAACGCCCAATAAAACGTCTCCAATTGTAAAAAAAAAAAAGACTTGATTAGTCAGACATAATCAGAACTGGGGGTTAAGCAAACTGTTTTGCAGATGAAGGGGATTTCAATACTGACAAAGCCTAACTCCTTCAGAGAAAATACCCAACTTGAAATAAACCGAAACAAATAAGAGCACTTATAAAAGATGCTAGAGTACTCAACTTTTTTTTTTAAATCTGTCATACATTTGCTGTTACTGCTATTGGCTTCCTATTCTGTTGATCACTGATGCCCTTGTCAGTGGACACTCTCAGTGGTGCCAAAAGCCTAGGAATGCACCCATTCTTCAATCAGTAGAATGTTCTGTTGCCTGTGCAAATGAGTGCCGCGTGACATTTGCACACAAGGCTGATAAGAAAACAATCCATTTAACCCTGAAGGTATGTGATGTCAGAAGCACTGCGTAATGTTAGGCATGCTGTGCATGCATGAAAGAAAAGTGAACTGGTACCTCTACATACCTCGGTTCTCTCTCTGTCAGGCCAGTATTAACCAGTGCCTCTTGTAAATAGTGGTGTACAGTATATTATAGTATTATGTCCTGTACTTGCCTTTACTGGAGGGCCATGAGGTTACTTGTATTTCTTAAGAGTGGTCCACTATATTATTTCATTAAAAAGCTCAAATTCTGGAAGTTGCTTGCTCTCTTGTGGGACCTCTTTTGAACTTGTGTTTTTCGCCCAGCACATGATAATCTCAGTTAATTTATGACTGACCTGGGCAGCGTAAGTTTTCAATAAGCTCTGATCACAGCAGTGCAAGGCAATTAGAGCCCTAGGCTTTTGCCATGACCATATGGCAGAATTGTTTTTCCGGTGTCACATGCCTCTTAATCATTTGATCATTTATTTTTTCAAGCTGGGGGTGACACTGAGTACTAAATTCAAGTAGCTGTACACTATCTTGAAAGGGAGTGGGTTGTTTTTTATGAAAGCCAAATCTGTCAGCCTCACTATGTCTATAAACACGTGAAAGAAAAAAGACTGTTTGCAAAGCAATATTGCTTAACTTTGTATGCTGTCTAGCAGTGGGTGAATAATGAGTTTGCAGGAGAAGGGGAGATAGACCTACAGTCAAAGCACAGCACACGTCAGAAGGCTTAAGCCTCAGTTGTGTTGTTTTCAGCCTTTCAATACCCCTGTCCCCTTCCCACTGCCCAATAGATAGGGATTACAGTATTTCGTATGAGTGAACTGCAATAATCTTCCTTCATAAGCACTTCCTCATTGTCTAGTAGAAATGTTCACCTGCAATCCCTTTCAGCGGTCTTCCAAACCTTTTTGTATCCGAATTTTCAGGTTTCTCAGCCTCATATATTAAAAGATGCACTTGTGCACTACATCTCTTTGTAGAACTTTTAAACCATGCTTTTCTGTCTTGATATATTCGGTTATTTTGAACCCCTACTTACAGACTTCCCTGCTGTTAACATCACCTTAATAAAAATGATATGCTCAGGGTCTCCAGTTCTGTATGGTCTAGTACACAGCAGAAAGTCCATATATGAGGAATTTTGATCCCTAGCCAAATTGAACACTTTATTCCAAATCCGGAATTTCTAAACCTTCTTGCCGTCTGCTTTCCAGTATTAGGAACATACTTTAAGTGACTACAATCCAGACGGTTTTGCAAAGCATGCTCCAGCAAACATTCCAATGAGTTGCTAAACTGTAGTAACTCATTACTAATACTAATTAAAGATTAAGCTTAAATCCACATTATTGAGGCTCTGCTTTAGTACGGAAGTTCTTTATCTGTGTCTGAGTCATTGGAACATTAAGCTGATCAGCTTTGGTAAGAGCATTCAGTGGTAACTGAAAGCGTTCTTACCCCTTTGACAAAACCACATCCAAAATAAAGGTTGAGCATAAAGACCTGTGGCTATACAGTCCTGTCAGAGAAACAGCTGAACGGGGTTGCAGGTAATCATTTCTGTAGTGTTCCCAATGAATCTGAACAGCATTCCAATTCCTTTTTTCCTTCTGTGCTCGTTTATCTTTTTGGCTGAACTGAAGTCTTCCCTAAACAATGTCCATCTTCTCAATCTCTGTTTTGATAAATTTAGAGACAAAAGCACTAGAATGGGAACGGCCGGGAGCTGCCAATGTTTCTTCTTTCTTCACTAAAATAAGCTGAAGGTATGACGTCAGTGTTCGCAATGTCACTCCGGGCCCCGGTTGCAAAAATATCTTTCTAATTCTTTTTGTTGTGTATATACATATATTTTTTTGAACGCACCCCTTTGTTGTAAAAAACTTTTTGAAAAAAAAATGCATGCTTTTGGGGACACCAAAACTGTAATAAAATTAATATTGAATGTATGGTGACTTTCTACTTTCAAAAAAGGAAAATAAACCTTTCTTCAGACGAGACTCTTGAGAATTGGGGGTTTTTTATTGTTGATTTTTTTTGTGGTATTTTTATTTTATAATGGCTGTTTCAACCTTTTTTTTCCTAATACGAATGCAATTGTCCACATGGAGGCAGCAGAAACCATTTTTTTTTTTGTTGTTCAGTATTTTTGTCTCTAAATTAATCGCCAGTCGTCATCACGGTAATGCGAGGGAGAAGACTGAGCCCCCATTATCTGTGCTTTGCAATGCTGTCATGTGGTTCTGTTAATAGTAGACCATCGCAGCATAGTTAAAAACCTAAAGAATCTGTACTAGCATAAAAAGGCTGCTTCATGTTAAACTGTGGGTAACTGCTTTTGAGCCTTAGTTCATGATGCATTGGCTTCTATTTAATTTTGGTGCTGCACTATTGCTCCACATAAGCCAGAAACTGATATTTTTCTCCAATTCTTTTTGTGCCAGATCTTTTTTGAAATTCAGTGTACATGGTGCTTATAAAGTTAGTTGCCTTTCTGGCTAAAGTGAACAGGTTGATCTCAATGTCCCAGACATCATTGGCTTGAATCTGGGCCATGTCTGTCGCTGACTATGACAGACTCCTCAATTGTCCAATTGGCCTAGTGCTCCAGTGCAGTAGGGTGCAGTAGAATGAATCAGTCATGTCCTTCATGGCTCACAGCAAACACAATTTGGACTTGCTGGGCTTCCCCAGTTGGCACAGACCTCTCCTCTCAGGCAGCGTGAAGCTTGTAGTGTGTCAAATGCCGAGTGCTTCTTTAGGAGGGCGTGCCAGAGGAGTATATCCGCATATCTCATTCCCTCTTGAGAGTGTGCAGGAGTAAGAAGCTGAATCTCAACACAACTGGTCATTTATGATTTGGTGGGTTAAATAAACACGAAAATTAACTAGTTATTTTGCCTAGTCAAGCACTTGCATAGTAAAAACTACCCACTGCAAAGCAATGAACAATAGGACTGCTGGGAACAAATTTCCACAGAAAATGCCAGAATATGCCAATGCCCCTCCCACTGGTGTCCACAGTGCCTTGTACTGTATGCACTTTGTGGTGAAGTCGGTTCTTGCTGAACTGCATGGGTGTCGGTGCACGCACCATTCTCACAACAGTTGTTTAGGCCAACCAACTTTTATAAGCACTCTGTATATAAAAAAAAAGATTATGTGAGCAATTTAAAATAAAAATATCTAGTAATGTTAAACCACACAATGGTCACCCACACGTTTCTTTCACCAGAAACAAGTTTGGTGTCGCCTTGAGTTTCCCCAAGAGCTCGGTGGCTTGTGGGAAGCCTTTTACCGCAGTGTGTAGCCTTGTTGCATGCGTGTGTTGAGAGTGTAGTGTGCAGACCACAGTGATCTCTCCCCTCAGTCCTAATGTCCAGTGATCCACTGGCACTTCCTGACCTGCATGAGTTCCTGCGGTGTGGTACAGTGCGCGTGTGTGGATGTACAGTATGTGTGCGCCTGCTTGCTTGCCACAATCCCTTTCCCTTGTATTACAAACAAGGAAACCAAAATATTACTCACCGGTTCTCTGCTAAGGATGACACTATCCCCTAACGACTGCTAGTGACTTTAGCCTGGATTGATGCATAGCTAGTAAGAAATAAATAAAATAGCCCCTACAGGGCAACTAAAACTAATATTTTTCGGGCTTCAGTATAAGGAATATGACATTTTTACAGCTGAAATTCCTTCTGTGCAAAAGTATTTTACAGTAATGTTTATAGACTGATTATAAACACCTCTAACTAAGCACACTTACAGTATCAATATCTACACTATAAAGGACTTATTCGGTTTTCATCATTGATGGATCCTGAGGATTACTTTGGACACCACTGACTTACTGGGATCCAAGAATATAACGATTTCAACTGTTTTGGATGACATTTTGAATTTTAATGCAAAAATGTACTAATCTATGGTGTGTATTAGACAGTTTTCTTTATGTTCTTCAGTTCTTTCAGTCAAAGTGACGATTATCTGGAGAATGTTGAACAGGTATGAGCAAACTAATGCTCAAACTTGGCATTGTGAATTGTCAATAGTACCTATTAGTCCCTTCTGGTAAAACAATTGTGTGGTAAGTTTATTTCAGCCTTTTACGTATCACCTGATGTATTCAGTCAGTTCAGCCAGACTGTTCTACTCGGAGGAGTCTTTGTACACATTTAGTGGATACAAGGCTAGAGGGTGAATGACAGTAGTTGAGACAGTCCTGATCTTCACATTAATCATTACTTTTTTCCTACTTCATGAAACGTGTACAGTATGTTTCATGTCGACATATGGCATACAGCACGACTGTTTAGATCATGTGTTAGCAGAATTGATAAGGAAATAAAAATCATTTTATTTGATGGCTCCAAATATTTAGCAAATAATAGTTTTTAACAGCTTTGGACAAAAATATCTGAAAAATCAGACTTTACTGATCACTTCACTCAACTGCAGCATATGGTAATTTGAATTACGTCCTTGATTTCATCATTACAATGTTCATGACAACAGGTTAGGCCCTCAGTTTTTGCAACTGATTCTTAAACAAGATCTCAATATCTGAGCTGCAATATTCACAAGGAGGTGTGGGACAGTATTTTGCTGGCCCTTCTGTGTAAGGTGGTGATAAGAACTGTCTGCTGTTGATTCGCATTCTTTCGTGACTACTTATTGAGAGAGAGTTTATTGATGTGTCACATTTCAATGTTTTTTCGAATAAAATATTTTTTTAAGACTGCTGAAGTTATGCAGGTGACAAAAGATGGCTATTAGAAATCTACATGTGTGAACTTTCTAAATATTAAAATTAGTTTTTAATTATTGATTATATTTGGCAAGTTTATTTTAACAGTGGATTTCAGAAAGGCTGCCTCCATTGATATTTCTTAGAATGGATACAGTATATTTACAGTAAATATCCTTAATGACAAAAACTCTTCCTGTGGAGCAGGAAGCAATCTCTCTGTATTAACCAGACACAAAGGTAATCTTATCATACCATGTGATATTTGTATCAAGGTTACATCTGGGAAAAGGACTAAACCCTAGCTTTTGGTGTGTATTTTAAAATGTATTTTTGCAGTTGTCTTTGATTTTTCTCAACAAGATACAAACCAAAAGAATGTCTTTCCCTTTCAGTTCGGGTTCTGAATTTGCCAGGTTCTGAAACCACAGACTAGGACATCAGTAAGTGAAATGTCTCCATTGTCCCTCGGCCAATCAGTCACGTTTTCACTCTCTGGCTTGCTCTCATTGGCTGACTGGCTTTGGAAGAGCAAGGGTTGTCAGGTGCCCTAAGTGCTCTGGTCTAACCTGCTTCATGCTACTGACACTGGCTCTTCCATTTGCTTCATGGACCCTCTCTGGAGAGGTGTGAGCAGGGTCTCCCACTGGCCCTTTGTCTTCATAACCACTGCTTACTTCTGGAGCCATGGTGACCTACTGTACATGAAACTAAAATCCTCCAGATGCTACAGACGGCAGGATCCTGCACTGTTGAAAATTCACGTCAAACACTTCGCTTTCCCTTTCAGTTTGTTTAACCATATCTTGTCACAATATGCACTTTTTAGGGTGTAATTTTTTAAAAAATATGCTGTGACAGAAATGTATGAAAGCATAACACTTAAATAGTAGACGCTCAAGATTTAGATTTTGCATGCACACATTTGTACTTTTTAAATAAATCTAAGGCTTACCCTGATCTTTTAGACGGTTTGTTAAATATTTTCAAAACTTAAAGTAATGTGGATGAATGAAAGATTTTATGATGAAGAACAACACAAAATATGGCTTGACAACAGTTCCGTTTTATTAAGTTTATATCCTGTGATTCAGAAAGAATCATAAAGTAAACACACAACGTCCTGCTTTCTTACTGTTCCTTTAACAATGGTTTCCTTTCTTTTCTCTGGAATCAGTGCCTATTTGTTTCAATAAACTCACACATCTTTCTGACATCCTGTCCAAACCCATCTGCTTAATTTCTCTGCATGTCCATTTGTGGGCTCTTCATTGGCTGCTGAGTTTCTCTTAAAGTGGGAGGCACTATGGTACCATAAATTCATAACGTAATCTGTTCTGGATCAAAAGGGTATGTCAGTGGACATCAGGCCCAGTAGACATCTGTAATCAACCATTCAGAAATGATCTGAGGTGAATCAAAGCCTAAAATGTTGCTGATTTGCCCTGCAATGATATAAACTGCACGATTATGTTGATAGATTCTGTGTATAAACAGTCCAGTTGCAATGGTTTTATTAACATGCTGTCAAAACCGAATGCAATTTAGAACGAAATGGGATGTCACAGTTTGAACAAATCCTGCTGATCCAAACAGGATTGCTATTGTTCCCAAATTTGCTTCAAATGGGACGATTATGGTGCCATGCCACAAAGCTGTGTTGAAAGTCATTTTTTCCCTCCCCTCTCAGCAACCCTTTTTCAAACGTCAAGCTCAAGCCCACGGTTACCAACGACAGATCGGCTCCGGTTATCCACTAGAGTGTCCAGGAAGGCCTACGTACCCAGCATGCTCCCACTCCCTACATTCACAGCGTCACGCCTACTTCCGCTCGCTCCCACTCCTGTCGGAGACACGGCCGGGACCACGGCACTCCGACTTCTCCTCTGGACACGATCCGGCTTGACTAAACTCTGAGTGGACTCCGGTCTGGGTGTGCCTGTTGTAATATTGGAATTGTCCGCCTCTGCTATCCATTTGACAATTTTTAAAACACAGTTGTGGGTTTTAACGTCTTGTATGCATTAGAAACGCTAAACGCTAAGAAGATCACGCTGAGCATCAGAAAGGATACCTCATGCTATTTATTGCTATTATTTACTGTGGTTTAATCCATTTGTTTGTGGATTCAATTACTTTGTGCGCATCTGAAAGGCCCCTATGCTCTATGAGTGCAAGGGTCAAGTGTAGGATTGCTGCCAAAGTGTTTTTTTTTTTAAGCAAAAACGCAACTTAACCCCCCCCCCAACCCCATTCCTTCGATTTCTCCCCGATCTTCAGTCCCCACCCCTGATTCTTTCCCATTTTACCACCCCCAGCTTTTCCAAGGAACTGAGGCTCCACAGCCCAGATCTACAGTATGAGCGGGGCACTGACAGTCCATCTGCCCGAGAAGGAAGTGTTCATTTCTCTCTTACTGTGGTGAATCCTGCCCCGTCTCAACAGTGTTTTACTGTACATTTGGCAGCCTGTTAGTCATGGTTCACTGCGTGCATGTCCTGCATATGTGGACATGATGGATGAGAAGGGATTTTGAGGAACTTACCATCTTTGGAATATAGTATCTCAAACTCCCAGTGCCACCTCCACACACAGACCTGGGAGAATCCTGTACATATGTATAGAATTATTTCCTACCAACTTTAAACAGCTCCATGCTTAAAACCACGTTTGCTTAAATGTGGATCTTTGGTGTATTATTGCTTTTATAAGGTTAGTGTACAATATCCCTTGTAGAAAGACATCTTTCATAGTATTATGGCCTGTGGGTGGGTTTCCTACACAATACTAATACAAAGGGACTGATTCAAAAACACCGGTACTACACCCCAGTGACCTCATCAAGGCCAAATTACATTAGAACATTAACCTTAATTACTGTTTTTAGAGGTGAAGTGTTTTGGATACAGAAAACGAATAAGCCATAACAACGTAGTTTCAGAGTATTTTTTTGTCATTTATCCTTTTGTGTAGAAGGTGCTAGAGTTTAAAAATGAGGGCCTGAGGGAAGCATGTCCAAAGGGAAGCTCTCTCTAAACCCGCGCACTTTAGAAACGGTTTCCTAAGCAATATCACCCATAGCATTAATGTGTAGGTGGGAATTACAGAGAGTTTGTGTATTAAGTTTGCAGAAATTGATATACTTAGAATTAACAAAAGGATGTTTTACACATTTTTATAACTTCATCTTAAAAGATATAGACTAAGCTAAATACAGTAATTATCTTGTCAAATGTGTTTCCCAAAGCACACACCTATATTGTATATTTTAGGCAAAAAGGGTTTTGTATAGAATATTATTTTTGTTTTTCACTGTACTGTTTTTTAATTTTCTCTCCACAAAGGTATTAAGTAAACTGTTGCTTGTTTACTGCTGCTCAGATTCTGTTATTTTGGCAATAAGTCTTGTACTGTAAGTCCCGTTCCAATTGTGTTAGGATGTCTCTTCGGTAAGTACCAGAACCCTTCCTTAGTGCTGTACCTGCAGTGGATGTTCTGTAGCAAAAGATGGCTCTGCTCATCGTGGAACTGCACACAGATTCAGAGCGCACAGTCTGACTGAAGGCTGAGGTGCGTTGGTGTACTGTGCAGCGTGCCTTTCTTCCTGCCTCAGGTGTGTATATCTGTGGAGGAGTCCCTGCTGTTCACATATTTATGAGCTCGTTTCTTTAAGGGACTTGCTCAGTGAATTGCCTTTTTTTCATCCTAACACCCTGGGCAGCTTAAGCTCCTCTTAATCAATTCTGCCTTAAGGTTTCTGATCCTGATGTCAGTTTATCTTCATAGTGGGCGGAAAACCTTTTCACTCAGCCCATATGAAATACCTTTTCTGTGCTAAAGGCAGCACAGTAACAGTAATGTACAGTACAAGTACTGTTACAACACTACAAGCTGTTCTGGTGCACCTGATCTGCTGCAGCACTGCAAATTACCATTTTTTTTCAGTAGAAGTGCTTGTCAGTGATGTGCTGGATTTCTCTGCAGTACTGCAATATTCAGCATTTTTTATTGTTTCACTTTTCCCTCCCACAGGAAAAAAGCAATATAGCTGAAGAGTAACCTTCTCCCCTCTATTGCAAAATAACTGAGCATCTTAATACAACAAAACACACACTGAACAACACAGCTGTGGAATTTTGTATTTCTTTCTTTGTCATGTCGCAAAGTGCTTTCTGTACCTTTTACCACTGTCTGCTGAGTCAGATTTAGTGTATATAAATAGGAATAGATTAAAGACGCTGTACCTACTGAAGATATTAAATAGGCATTTGACTATAGAACCTTTAATGGAGTTATGTATACATGGTGAAAATTGGGCACCAAAGATAAAAAAAAAATATGGGGAGTGGGAATTTACTGTTTAAGAAAATACTGTTATTCTTGTATCTTATTTGTGAAATATATATATATAGCAAAAGTCTATAACCGTAATTAAAAAAGTTGTAATAATGGTAAAGCTGCTGTTTTCTCTTTGCGTAGTTGTTTCGAGATTTTCAAGTTACCATGATGTGCCCTGAACATCAGGCAGCAAGCAAACACTGTCCTGCCTGTCTGCTGGTGCACCAACCATTAGGCATTACTGTGTGTTCAGACACCACCTGAAACCTGCTCTGTGCCTTCACTCTTAAAGTCTCCATTGTTTAATTATGCTGCCCATATTGAACAGAAGCAATTACTACGTTCTTCTTACTTTGCTTACTTGTATTATTAAGTACAGACCGAGCTTAAATGCAAAAACAGCAACCTGACTTGTACTTCTCATTTGCTTTCACTGTTCACATGCTCTGTAAAACAAGTTTTATACATTTCTTAATGTTCTATGGATGTATTTGTTTGGTTTACTGGTCTTTTACATGTTATCAGTACCTGAATGCAAAATCCAATTTTTAAGGTATGTAAAATACAGTATGCATAACTTAAATAAAAATACTGTGCTCTGATTGTGTTTTCCCAGTTTAATAACTACATAAGTCTTGGGTCTGTAACAGAAGTAGTTACCACCATAGAACTGTGTAAATATTTAAGCATTACATTTTACTATTTAAAAGACATTTGTGAAGATGGATGCTTTTGAACAAGAGACACCCAAAAACATTCACCTGTATCTCACAACACTCTGTGGAACACTGTTCTAACTAAACAGCAAACATATTCCTATGCCTTGCTAATATTTTTAATTTTCCTTTGGAGCAAAGCTGCAGTTCAGATTTCAAAAGGCTCCTGTAAAGACAATTAACTACACTCCCACAGTAAATTACTACACCACAAATAATTATCCTTTGTCAGCTGCTAAAAACACTTCCAGACATTTTTAAATACTGTAGGTGTCCAACATGGCAAAATTGTAAAATGTATAGCTTTCTTTTCAACCTTGGTGTGATACATTAATTTATTTCACTCTCAAAGACTCTCAAAGTCTCAGACTTTTTTGCAATTTAAAATAGAGATCCTTAAACTTCCATTCCTTCAATATAACAAAATTGAAGAATGTAGTTGGAATGGAGTAACTTGTTTCAAAACGATATACTGTACATGTAAAAAAAAAAAGAAAGTTCAGTTGAAGATACTTTAAAAATGTCTTTCTTTTTTATTAGACAAATGATACCTGACAACATGCACTGTATGAGAGTAAGAACTGTATGAACAATAGCAGTGAACTGGTGTTGGACTAACCAGTTCTGAAGACAGCCAGTAACTTCTATAGGAGAACAAAATCATTTTCTTCTATTCTTTACGTTATTACGTACTGTATCTTTCAAGAAATGCCTTCTTCGGTTTTGGTCTTTTCTAAGAGCAAACAAAATCACCATGAATGTACTGTATCCGTTAGCTGGTTATTTAGCAGAATCATGCTAAAAGTTACACTTTATAAAAACACCAGGGTAACAGCTAAGTACCTGGCCCGGGGAAATCAAGCATTTGTGTGACATGCTGCTGTAGCTGTTGTAGCCAATACCATTGAAATAGATAAAGCCACCTTTTTCCTATTGTATTCTGTGGATATGAGTGGATTACTATGCATTGGTGTTGCAAGGAAAACAGATTTTTTTATTTTTAGCAACAGCCTTTAAATACGTTAAAAAATAACAATAAAAATTAACAATGTGAGAATACAAAAGTAAAAGGTTGTATTTGATTTAAAAGTTTTAGCAGACTCAGGATCCCAGATTTAGCCAGACTGAAACCTGGACCTGTAAGAAGAGAAGGCCCACTTCCCCCTGAGAGCACAGTTTGAATTTTGGCACAAGCAGAAGAGCAGTGTCCTGTACTACAGGCAGGGGGCAGACAATTCCACTCCACAAAGGCCAACATTCTGTAGTTTTTAGAGGTACCCCAGAATTAGCAAGCGATTAACACTTAACCAGGTGATTTGACAGCTTTTCCAAATATTTGTGCAAAGGGGAAATGAAAACAAGCAAGACTCCAAACCTAGAAGACTGGATATGTCTACACCTAGACTACAGGATATGGGCCTTATATTTAAATATTTTTTCTTTGACCTGACGCCCTAATGAAGTATATGTAATATATTAATTTTCATTTAAAAATGAAAAGGCTAAAGCAGCCTGTTTATGATATTACGGTTCTGCAAGCTACCTGTAACAGCTGGTGCTGAACATTGTTAAAATTTGAATGTAGTTTCCTTGCATCATGGCTCTGCATCGTGGCTTGTACTGTACATTGTCGTGTTTTGAATTTGTGTGCTCAAGTCCTGTGGTGGTCTCTCAGAGTGTCCATATTTCAAACCCATCTCTTGTTCACACTGTATTAGCTCAGATTCCTAAACATTCACTTGGTGTTCACAGTAAACACATATTGATAGGCAATGGTTTATGTGCAAGAGGACACAAACACTCCAGAAATATCATCTGACAGATACAGATTAAAGTACCATTAAAACAAAATGAAGTTTCATGCACTGCTACATCTTCCATTAGTTTCCTTTGGTGTGTGAACCAGTTTAACCTCTGAGAGGTTAAACCTCTCTGTGCTGAACTAAATAATAAAATAAACAGGCTTTCAGTTTGAGTTTACTTATTTCATGACCAGTTCAGAGGCCTGTGGCTCTGCTACACAACTGAGCTCAGGGAATTAAGTGATTTAATGTGTTCAGCATGGCTTTATAGAACAAAGAACTCAAAGACATAGCAGCTTCACACTGTCAAGAGCTTAAATTGCCCATCACTGATGAATCCCTTAACTATCAGCTTGGCGTCTGAGAGAGGCATGTGGGAGTGAGGGTCAAAACTAAGGCCGTAAAATTCCAAATTTTGGTAAGAACAGACATCCGATATGTTGGAAGGTGAATTGAGACTGATGGTCATGTCCAATGGGCATCATGACCTATTTTGCAAACCTACTACTCAGCTTCTGTATTGCTGAATTGGAAGAGAGCCTTTTCTGGGTTTGAGCAGGGGACCATTCTCAGACAGACAAGATGCAAAACAAATTCCATTCCAATAGCAGAGCACATTCCACAATGAAGAAGTCTTTTTCTTTTAATCAGTGCCCAAACCGCATATTCATCAAGTTGATAAAGTCATACATACATACGGCAGATTTTGCAGTAAAGAGCAATTGAATAAATTCGGCATTTAAAAAAGGACTTTTAAGGGGGTAGGAAATCCACTTGTATTTTAACCATATTTCCACTTGTAACGATGAAACGTGAAGCCGTTGTTCACTAAAACCTATGTTGATATCTCATAAGCTGTTTCACTTATTTCCTATGTATTATTATGACATCTCTGTTCTACATACAATACTGACATTAAACCAGCATGTTATCATTACAAACAGGGGGCTTAACATTGAAACCAAGGTTGTCTGACTTCTCATTTAACACTGTTATACAATAAAAATCTCATAAGCTACAAAGTAAAGTAAAACCAGAGTGCCATTTAAAATTCTTACATCTCTTTGGCAACAAATAACTTATAATAATTTGATATTATATCTTCATTAAACTTCATAGTTTTTAGATTTTTCAATTCCTTTTCTTAATACAAAAATAGTACGGACTGCAATTGAACTTTTTCTATCCTAAACTATTACAGAATATTAAATCCATAAAAGGCAAACAGAAACACACATTATGCCGTTTTTTTGGAATAAATACTATATCTGCAAACTGCATTCTTACCACATGAAGGCCTAAGGAGAGCAGTGGCAACCATGTGGGATTCGCAGACTGTAACCCTTCAGACAAGGAAATAAAAGCAAACTTGAACCTTCTGTATGGAGATCGATAGCATCAATCTACAGCAATCAAAGGCGTCGAAGTTACCTTTGTCAGGGGTTCGAGAGGAAGGTTTTGATATTAGCTTGGAGAAACTTTTGCATCATCTTGGGCCTTGAACAAAAACAGTTGTACTGTTATGCAGTCAAAAAATAAACAACATTATACTAACTAAATATTAAAACCGAGGTCTTGAAATACTGAATCATTCATAACACATACTCTAAAACATGTATATATGTGCATATACAGTAGGTATTAAAGGATATGTTTGGATAGTCCATGTCTAAAAAAATCATTCTCGTTTGTTTTCCCCCATGAATTTGACATTTGAGGCTTGAGGAAACTTTTTTTTATTACTCATTTGCCATACAGCTACAATATGACAAATTGCTATTCAGGAACCTGGGAAGGGTTCACCATTTTCCTCATATGGTTTCCATTTTGCAACTCAGTGGATTTGAGAGGCCCTTAAGACCGCACTCTGTGATGATGAGGAATTTTCATCCTACCTACCCTAATGGTGGGCTGTTTTGGAAAGCTGAATTATTTTTCATCAGCCAATTTTTCATCAGCCAAACGGTGATGCAATTCCCAGAATGATTATAAAGAACAAGCAATACACCCAATATCTGGGAATGGACGTAACGGGAAAAGACAAAAAAGAGATGTAAACAACTGAATCCCACACTGTCCTTACCCTGTGAAGGAATGCTGCAGGATTACAAAACACTGAATATGCTTTTACAAAAAGGAATCCTAAATTTGAACACAGGAGTCACAAGAAATAACAATGCTGCAAACAAAAAGATTCTTCTGGGTGTCTCTTTCAGACAGAGAAAGGCAATTTGAAAAGGCTTCTGTACCAAATGCGTTTTCATCTTGACTTTCCCCTCAAAAGTGTGCAAAGTAATAAAAACATTTGGCAAAATATTATTACTTCCAGTAGCACAGTTTTTTTCCCACTTGGATCTAGCTGTCGGCATAGAAAGAATTCCCTTTTTTTGTACTAAAGATCTCCAAGTCTATATGCAACAAACAACAGAAAACAAAAACTACATCTGGTTTCCTTCCAACAAGGCCTCTCTGCTTTGGGTCCCTGGGCATCCTGGAGGCAGATTATTAATTACGAAGATGCTTCTACAACATGAGCATCTTCCCAGTCTTCAGGGCGTATATGTCCTGTGTCTTATTATCCCACTCCCTTTTCTCAGCTCCTTTTCCTTTTGCTATCTTTGAGACAAGATTACGTCTTCTACGAAGTCCCGGAGTTCGAGTGAAGGGGTCTGTGGTGTTTAACTCCAGAAGTGCCAGGCGTAAACACTGGCTTTAACAGTCTTGTGCAGGGCTGCAGTGCTGCTCCCAGCAGCTGATGAGGTGATTGGGAACAGAGATGAAAGGTAAACGCAGTGAAACTAATCTTGTTCCGTTTGTCTGCACTTTGAAAAAATGGCAGTTCCATTAAAAATGAGCTGTAATGTTCTGTGAAATGTAAGTTATAATCTGCATATGTTAAATATATATATAATCATAATATATATTATCTAATTATATATAGACTTCTCTTTTTTGCTTTCAGATCAGTCTTCATTGCACGAAAGTTGCCTGTACACCCCTTCTTTGACAGCACAGTGGGGAGGGGGAGGGGGGACAATAACATTAAGAGGCACTGTCCAGGCTTGGTACCTAGGTCAAACCCTCCCTTTCCCCTGCAGGGGTGAGGCCAGTCTGTTCAGGAAGGGACTGGGAAGCTAGCTCACTCCCTGGATTGATGACTTAGTCTCTCTCCCCATCTTCGCTGCTTCCTGAAGAAGAAAAGAAAGTAAGCAAATGTTTAGGCTGCCTTTTGATGTTGTTTGGTCACTACTAATATTCTAGAATTAATTAATATAATTACGAATTATGTTCTTATTTGCATTGAGATACTTAAGTCAGGATCTGCTTGAAGAAATCTGTTTAGTAGAAATCACTTTAACCGCAAACAGGGTACTACTTTATTGTGCAGTAATAACTATGTATTTACCAAATATCACTGTCGTAAATTAGTGTTATACTAATGGCGTTATTTCACTATTGTAATTATAGAAGTATAAAATAATTACATGGTAGTTGCAGCATATAATTTAATGCTAACTCAGTGTTAAGTGTACAAATACATAAAATCTTACTGTATCAAACAGTTTCACTGTAACTACAGTTACAACAATATAACTCAACCATATGGTTCTTTGAATAACTTAATATCCAAAAAGCTAAAATCATCATTAATATGAAAATGGCAACAGACCGTAAATAAAACCTGTCCACGAACCAAAAACTGTTGAAAATGAATGGGTAGCCCATTTCCTGAATTCACTGCGGCGGCTCCCTGTCTGAAGAGGAGTCAGAACTGCAGTGCGTGCACAGTATGTGTGTGACCAGAATTACAAAGCAGGGTTGAGCCAGGCCTACCTCCTGCAGAGTCTATGTCGGAGTCGGACACGTGTGTGATGGAGAAACGGGACACGCTGGAGGGGGAGACAGTGAATCGGGAATACTGCACAGCAGATCCGGTCAGCTTCGGCTCCGGAACCCGTGTGGGCAAGCTGGAGGTCACGGGGGGCTCCTTGGAGGGCGCTAAAGATGTGCTCACGGGCATCAATGGGAAATCATCATCCCACTCAAACCCCCCACCTGGAGAGACAGGGCGAGAGGCTCGGTCCCAGTAAATCTACCCTTCGAAATTATAGGGCAATATAATAAATAAAAATTATATATAATATAATAATTTAAAGGATACTCCAGTGTTTACTACAATATTAAATTGCACATAAACTAGAAGTTTGCGAATTGAAAATTCCTCCTAAAGATCTTTATTCGGTTATTTTTCATATAACAAATTTTCGAATGAATATGATGGCACAGGTGTATAGAATAGTAATCTTTTTATTTCCACGTCACTGGTGTAACAAAACATAAATTTAAGTAGTATTTATGAATTTACACAATGGGATAAACCATACTGGCCTCCCTCTATGACAGGTTATAATCAGGGAAATGGACCCTGCTCTGACCATTAAATTACTTTTCAGATGTACAGTATATAAAGTTCTCTTTGTCTGCAAGTTTACATTAGTCACTTTGTCTTACTTTCTTCCGAGACATTCCCATCAGAAGAGTCATCCGAGACCCTTTCTTGGGAGTGCGTCTCTCCAGTGTCCGAGTTTCGCCCCCGGGACTCTTCTCCCGGTGGGAAGCTGTGTTCTCCCAGCTCCCGCGTGGGGCTCTCCTGAAAGACACAGACATGGTCTGAGAGAGGGAACACAGTCTAATGATAGACCCTAACTCTGATAACACTGTCTACACTGCAACTGGACAGAGATCGCTATGCTACACTGGCAGAAAATGGCCATCTCCTTCCTAAGAGGAGCTGAAGCCTGATTTCCACTACATGGGCAGTTTGCCCTCCCTCATTGGAAAGTAGGGACATGTTTTTCTAAATGGAAGAAAATTGAAAACTGCTGTATGTCCATTGGCTTACCATACACCTATGAAACCTCATTGTGAACCTAACAAAGATACAATTTTTTTCACAATAACTAGGTGCAATTAAAAATTAAAATTACAATCCTTATTTGTTTTGCTTGCCCAAAACATTTTTTTTTACCGGGTGTTTTATGTGGTTTGTGACTGTCTATATACATGGTACAGAATATACAAACAGTGACATCTGAATGTACAGTATGCATATAAACCGTGTGTAAACAGGATTAACATGGACAGACCTGGTCAAAAAGGTAGACAGTGACATCATCAAAGAAAGACACAGCCTTCTTTTTGCGGTCCATCTCCTCACAAAAGGACTGGGAGAGCAGGCTGGGCATCTTCAAGAGGCTACGCAGGTTTCGTGCCTCACTGCTGTTGCTGACTACAATGGGTACAGAAGGGAACTCCTCCTCACTTTCCTCACTCTGCTCCTGGATGTTGTAGCAGCGCAGCTCCTCATCTGACTCCTCGCTGTCTTCTGAATCCCCATCTTCCTCATCCGCCTCCTCTCCATCCACTGGGGACACTCTGCCTTCAATTGCCTGGAGATCTTGAGGAGGAGAGGAAAGGGCAGGGTTTTCCAAAGCCTTGGAAGCTTCAGGCATCTCCTGAACCTCATTTTCTTGGGTTTCATGATCATCATGGAGGAGTTCCTCTGGCGTTTTTTCCTTTTCTGGGGGACATGATGGAGAAGACTCTACCACAGGAATGGTCTCCTCTTCTTCCTTCATCTCATTCCCATCTCCCTCTACCCTCGATGTTTCATGGGATAGAGATTCTGCCGGGGAATCTTCTATACTGGCAATCCCTTTTCCTGGGTCAGATGAAGCAGGAGGCTCCTGCTGGGTTGGTCCTTCCGAAACCGAAGAGGAAGAGCACTCAGATGATTGGTCCTCTCCAGAGTGATCCGATTCCAATCCCAGCCCTTCATCCTGAGAGCCCTCTTTTGTTAAACAGGCCCCCAACTCAGGAGGTGAGGGAGCAAGTGAAGAAAGAACAGGACCTGATTCTTCTTGGTCTGAGACCTCACCTCTTGGTGAAATTTCAGCCTTGTTGATCTCAACAGGTCTGTCTATCTTCTGCTCACCTACCTCACAACCTATATGGTTTTCTGGGAGGAGCTCTTTCCCTACAGGATGCTTATCTAAATCTTGCTGTTGCTCTTCATCATTAACCAGAGGGCTAAGCTCTTCTCTTTCTGTGGAACTTGCAAGATCCTCCTTTTTGGCCCCCTGGCCAGTAAAGTCATCCCCCTCATCCCGGGGAAACTTTTCGATCTCTGCATCGTAGTCTGAGAAATAAGCCGAGTCCCTGTATGGGTTTTTCTTATTCAGCCCAGTCAGTTCCAGTTCTGTGCCATGAGAAGTGGACAGGGTATTTGCTTCCTCATCAACTCCTGTCTGAGTTACAATCTCTATCACTGCCTCCACCTCCCTTGGTCCTGGGCTCCCTGTTAAAGTTGGCTTTGCCAGGGGCTGTCCAAAACCATCAGGGTCTCGTGGTTCATGGGGTTCCTTCAAGACAAATTCAGGAGACTCATTGTTTTCGGTGTCATAGCCACTGTCAACAGCTTTAGGCTGGCTGGAGGGACGGAAGGTAGCAGGGCTGAAGGCATCGCAGGAGCTGGTGGTTGAGGGAAGGTCTAGGGAGTCTATAGAGTCTGGGGTCCCTACTTGCTTTTGGAGGGACTTGAAAGTAGGGGCACTGTCTTCTATATTTGCATAATCCATGGGAAAATCTGAGAAAATACCTGAAGTGACATCTGTGATATCATCATCACTACAGTCATCAATCTCTACTAAGCTGATGCTGGAGTATCCTTTCTCAACTCCACTGTCCACTGTGTGACTGTTCTCGGACACTGATTCTGACTGGGCATTGGCAGTATCCCCAGGAAGTGCTGGATTTTCATATTGGAAAGGGGTATTGCAGGCGGCTGAAGTGTTTTTAATGTCTGTATTTCCTCCCTCTTTCTGGCTCTCCTTTTCAGAGAGCTTTCTACCATTTTTGAGGGCAAGGTCAATAGAGTGCTCAGTTTGGTCTGACAGGGAATTCTTTTTCCCCAGGTCTTGGTTCAGCTGTGTTTCTGACAATTCTGTTTTTGTAACAGCACCTCCTTCAGGCAAGGAGTGTGTAGTTTCAGTCTTTTCCTTTCCATTTAACTCATTTTTTTTTTCTTTAATATTATTTAGGGCATAACTCCTCCTGATAACTGAACCTGATAGTGGATCTACAAACTCATCTTTTTCTATAGAATTGTGTCTTCTATGGGGTGATATCCTATTCCCACTCTCATGACACAGATAAACATATGTATTGCACTCATTTGAGGGGTAAAGTTTGTGTTGGTTATTTAGAGAAATGCAGTCACTTTCTTTATCCATGGTCTCTAAGTAGGTAAAAGGTTTGGGTCCAGAGAATGCCAGATTTTCTTTAGATTCAATTTCTCTCCATGAGTCTTCCAAATCCTCAGATGGCACTGTGAAATGGAAATCTACATAGGCATCATGGGTATTTACCCCTGGTCTTCTGACAAAGTTCAGGCTGTTGTTGTTGGCAGAGATGTTGGATGTCCAGTTATTAGACTGTCTCTCTATAAACAAATCCTCTTCATCCAAATCACTGTCCTGGTGCTGCACAAAAAGCTGGGAATCTTCCCTCTCCATATCAATGCTGAACCCAGTGTTGGACCCAGGCATGGTCTTCCGGAGTGAACCCATCATATCATAGTAGCACTCGCCAGCTGCAGATTTGCTATGGATAGTCTCATGGCTTCCCTCCAGATAGGGGTCACAGTAGACCGGCTGGGGACTGCTCAGAGATGGAGAGATGCCCAGGGGGTTCTCCAGCTCACCCAGTGCCTGACGCAGACTCCGGGACCCCCAGCTCTCTTGATGCATTTCAGAGGGGTCTTCTGCAAGGTACTGGTCTGCCCCGTCAGAAGGCGAATTCTCATAGTAATAGCTCTGCTCTCGATCTCTGACTTTGTAGGAGAAGTACTGTCCATGGCCAGTCACCCAGGGTTCCACAGCATTGGCACTGGTCACCTGTCCTAGTAGAGGCTCCATAGTGAGAGATATGACCGGACTGGTATCTGAATCGTAGGCACTGGCTTTATGAGCATCTCCTGCCCAATAGGAATTGGTCTCAGCTTCAGAAGAGCAGTTAAGACAGTTTCTTGAGTTACTGCTGCCTTCCACAAAGTTGCCATCAAACTCTGGGCTGTAGGAACACATGGTATACTCCAGGTCAATATTGCACTCAGAAGGCTCTTCGATACGGATGTAATATTCACTGTTCAGGGATGGACTGTGAGCACTCAGCACCGGCACTACGCCAGGGGTGTGGAGCTGTTTGGAATCATAGTAAGAAGGAGAAACACCCAGAGTAAGCCCGCCACCACCACAGCTGTTCATCCCACTGCCAGGAGGGTAGTAGATGTCTTGGTATTGGGGGTTGCCATGACCTAGGGGACCGCTGGTGGACGATGAAAGAAAGTGTTGCTCTGGTAGAGCCTGTTCCCACTTGTACTCAAAATTGAGGCCCCGGCTCGTCTCGGTGACAGTAAGAATGTCATCCCCGGGTTCAGAGTGAAAGCCGTCTCCTGCCGAGAAGTGCTCCAGCAGGGGGAATGAGGAGGAGGACGAAGATGGCATCTCTGCCACCGAGGCACTGGCACTGTGTGAGCCACTGTTGCCTCCATTAGGCCGCAAGGAGTTCCAGCGCTTCTCAAAGTCCTCTTCTGCCTCACTGGCACCCTTGGCACACAGATAGCTCAAGAGCAGGTGGACTTCTTCTGCAGTGGGCCTTTGGTCAGGCTGCAGCCAACAAAACTGCATCACTTCATACCTGAAAAGGGTAGAGAAGAGGGAAGAGAGTCTAAATGAAAAGAATAGTGATATAATACATTCAAGCAGAAGGGTAATGACATTGAGAAGAGAAATCTGAACTAACAGATAAAACAGGAGGCCCAATTATTAGGATTTATTCTTCATCTCCTTGTTCAGGTGTTTTTCATCTGTAATAATATTTGTTAACAGATTTGACATGTCATTAGCTACCCCATAAGAGAAATACATAGAAAGTGAAAAAGTTACACAAAAAGATGTAATTTGAGTATGGACTCTAGCACTAGTTTTCTACAGTATAGTTTAGACGAAAAGGAAACACTGAGACAGGAAGTGGGATGCAGGGGGCACTGTAAGTTAATAATAATAATTAATAATTGCTTACACTTAATATCGTGCTTTTCTGGACACTCCACTCAAAGTGCTTTACAAGTAATGGGGATCCCCTCCGCCACCACCAATGTACAGCTCCACCTGGATGATATGACGGCAGCCATAGGGCGCCAGAACGCTCATCACACATCAGCTCTCAGTGGGGAGGAGAACAAAGTCATGAAGCCAATTCATCGATGGGGATTATTAGGAGGCTATGATTGGTAAAGGCCAGGGGGAAATTTGGCCAGGATGCCAGGGTTACACCCCTACTCTTTTCAAGAAATGTTCTGGGATTTTTAATGAGCACAGAGAGCTAGATTCTTGGTTTTATGTCTCATCCGAAGGACAGCGCCTTTTTACAGTATAGTGTCCCCATCACTATACTGGGGAATTAGGACCCACATAGACCACAGGGTGAGCGCCTCCTGCTGGCCCCACTAACACCTCTTCCAGCAGCAACCTTTTCCAGAAGTTGAATGTAAAACTACTGTGACTCACCAGCGATCTGAGAGGGGCACTTTAAGCAGAGGCTTAGGCAACTTCAGCTGTTGTTCTTTGATGGCGTAGGTAAGCACCTGTCTGTCAGAGTAGTGGTGATAGGGCTGATTCCCTAATTCAAAGAGTTCCCAAATTGTTACTCCCAGGGACCTAAAACAAAACAAAACAAAAAAACAGTTATACAGCCAATCCTAACTAGTTGCAATTAACATAGTTAACATCTGTTATATGTGGTTTTCAAATGAAGGTTCGGGTAGTGTTATTCAAATCCCTGAGGAACTGCATTACAGATCATGCAGTTAGTTACCTATATAGGCTCATTATATAGGGGGATCAAGCAGTCCAGGCTGTGCTCTATGATCCATTGGTCATTTGTTCGAGCCTTGGTCCCATCACAGCTCAACTGTGACTAGGATCCCCCAAGAGGTGGCACACAACTGGCTCAGCTGCATCTGGGAAACACCTGGGATTAAAAGAGCTAGAGCTTTCTGGGTTCCTGTAGGCTTGAGGTGATGAGGAACATGCCCAACCTGTAATCAGGTCTAAACTTCCCTTACATGGTTTGTAATGGGTCATAAGACTAAAAGCTCAAAGGGTCAGAGGAATCTGTTTGCAATTCCTCATTCTCCACTTCCAAAAGCATCAACATTGTGAACTGGGACATACAGCCACAACTGGGAATTTGACTTTGGATGGATATACTGATGGATTTTATATACATAAAAATTGTCAATAGTAAATTATTATGTAAAAAAAACAATTGTAGGATACCTACAATCTGGCTTAGAGTGCTGAACTCTGTATTGACACTACAGAAATTCAATCAAATTTCAAATTCAAAGTTATTTTGCTTCTTTCTCTCAGTGGATAGGATATATTCTGATCACTAAGTTTGGAATGTCTGTCTGGAATGTGGGTTGTTAAGAATATTGTAGACAAATTTCTACGATTGCAGAGAACTGTAAGGAAACAACAAATATTTGTTGTCACTGTACTCCATAATGTCACGCCTTCCTTACCATATGTTGCTGGGCTTTGTCTGGTCAACCACCAGCAGGTTGCCATGAACCTCATCAATAAGCTCTGGAGCGATCCAGCGCAGAGGCACCCATATCTGATCTGATGTCACAAAGTAATCATCCTGAATGGAGCAAACGAGAAGAACCTAAGCAAGTCTTTTCTGATCCTGCAGCTCCTCAGAGGTAGCTAATCCCAGCCACCAATCCTACAGATCAAACTACACCATCCGCTTCCCAGAATTCACAAAGAAATAAAAAGAAATGTTCCATCAGCCACCTCACATGATAACCCGTGTCCTGAAAGACTCTAGACTCACTTTGTACTTGTTGTGCGAAAGACCGTAGTCTCCTATCTTCACCGTCACCTCTGCAGTGAGCAAACAGTTTCTCAATGCCAGGTCACTGGGAGAGACAGAGGACAGGACAATCAGTTCAAACCTAAAGGAGGATGCACAGCCCTGATAGCTCAAGCATAGACTTCAAGACTCAAGGCCTTCAAGGTTTAGTCTGTTCCAGTTAGTTTTGCAGTTAGTTTGAGGTATTAACATATTGAAATATTGAAACATATTGATTCAACACAGATGAGGAGTTTAATTAATGCAGATGTGCACTTTGACATGCATGAAAACCAGAAAACATTGATCTCCTCAGCTCTGAACTCCTTAAATAAAATATATATATATATTAACCAAGATACCCACACTTTCAGTCAGGTACTTAAAATAACATTTTTTTTATGCCATCACAACCAAATCCAAGCAAGATGATCTAAGAAGTGTGGCTTTAGGAAAACAATACATCATCCTTCAAACAAAAATAACTAAAAACATATTGTATATACAAGAAAACAACAAAGTTTACGATTTTAGCCAATAAAAAAAAAATTAAAACAAATGATCTTTTTGTGCAGAACCTGCTGCAACAGGACTACCGTTTCTTGTGCAGATCAGGGAAGGTTCCCCGGCAGGAGGAGGCCAGAGGATGGTGCCTGGAGCTCAAGGATTCCCCCCTGCAACAAAATCACTGATGCTGGAGTCTGTGAGAAACACTCGGGCAGCACCAGGATATTGTTACAGGGAGAAACCAGGGATGTCTGGAGGCATTAGTCTATAAAATGACTCCTATAATGGGGAATACAGTACAACAGTGCTCCAACGTGGTCTGGAATCATCCAGCCAAGCTTAACTGTTATAAAGATAGGTTTAAGGTTTTAAAGCACAAAGTATAATGTATATAAATGCCAAAAACGATTGTAAGCATTTATTTTCCAAATATCAAAACTGTCCCCAATACAGTTCAGTGCTGATATGCACATAAGATGAGAAGTTACCAAAAGACAGTAAGGTTATGACCTTCTACTTCCTCATTTCCTCCTAAGCAAAGTGAATAGGCCTCGTGTATTTTGCTATCCCCTTTTTCCAAATGCTCCAGCTACACATGTTAAAAAACTTGAAAATTTTGCTACAAATGCAAGCTAGGCTCTATGTTCCAGATGCTGGGGGCTTGTGCCACTCATTGTTGAGCCTCCTGTGCCTTGCTGCTCAGCATGTAGTGAGTTGAAATGAAGAACACCTTAAATTGAGAAGCCTGTATTTTCCCAAAAGTCAAAACTAAAGAACTGAGAGGGTACATATTCATGGATTTTAAGCAGAGACAGCTTGGCCTACCTGTGGACATAGTTGTGTTTGTGCAGGTGCAGAAGGCCAGAGGCAATCTCACATGCCATTCGCTGTAGGGTCAGAGGGTCAGGGGTCATGGAGTCTGCAGCCCGACAGCTCCGCAGGTAGCCTTTCAGATCTCCCTGTTTGTGGTGACAAAGAGAAAGCGATGAATTCTCAAGGCCACAGAGCTGATCATGGTCTCGCCAACCAGGACTACTTCTAAAACTGTCCCAGATATTGCAGTGACTTACAAAACCCTTAGCTCTAAACCTTCCTAACTTAGTTTAAGAATAGTGTACTTTGTACTTTTAAAAAACAGGTATTTCATTTGCTTCTTACATTTTAAGATTCAAGACAGGAAACAGCTCAGACTTCGGTACTGCATGAAGGCAGAATGTTCCTGATAGAACTGCACTGTTATTCCTGCAGTACTCACCAGGGGGCAGAACTCCATCACCAGCAAATATGGTGTGACTTCAGTGCACTGTGCAAGGCACTGCAGGAGGGCAGGATGCTGGAGAGCCCTGGGTGGGAATAGAGGCGAGTTAAAACACTTTTTAACTCTCCAGCACTTACAGGATGGTCATCTGTCAAAAGCTTTATGGCCTCATTCATTATGCAGGGCTCGTTTCTTTGATGCTGCTATAATGAATTGTGAAGTGCTAGTCTCTTACTGTAGGTCACAACTCTGTTAAGCAGAGTCTCATATCCTTGGGTGTGGGCTGAACGGAGGCCTACATTAAGGGATAAAATGAACTTGCCAAGGCAGGAAAAAAAAAGGGATTTGCTTGTAAGCATACCCTCCTATCATTTTGTTGAAAATCTTTGAGGCCAAGTAATTTAAAGGTAATTTGTTGAAATTATAAAATGATTATATTGTTGTAATGCTACACAATGCAAACCAATTTACTTTATAGTGTACCTCAAAAAGCACTTATGTGACTACACAGTGTTTCCTTGCATGTATAATGCATAGAACTCAAATTGGGCTTGTTCCTTTTCAACGTTTATATCTAACAAGCACACAAATTACCATATCAAAACACTTACCCCCTTCCATTCCCATTCGAGCTGAGTGATTCCTGTTAATTGTGCTCTTAGTGTGACCAGTGTCAGGAGAGCTCGTCCATTTACAGCTTTTTAACGATATTTTTTTTCGCTGAAAATTCTGTAGTTAATTTGCAGGTGTCTTAATTCAATGAGCTGTTAGCTTTCACCAGTTTTTAAGAGATTATAAATTGTTCAGCACTCTGGTGGACTGGAACAGACCAGTCTAAAGAAAAATTAACAAATATTTTTTTTTTCTGTTAGTGGTTTATTTAGGTTTTCTGTTGTGGTATATTGTGTGCATCAAAAAATAGAAAACATCACATACTGTAAGTGTTTGCATGTCATCTTGAATGAAGGCTTAGACCAAATTCATACATATTATTATTATTAAGAAGAAGAATAAAAACATATCACTCATGCAAATGCGTTGTTAAACCAAGAGAAAGGACGTCAGCACTAACCGATAAGGCTGAGCCTCTTCCAGAAACTGCATCTGGTCCTGCACACTTGCACTGGCCTTCAGTTCCTTCACCACCACCTGTGTGGTGCTGAGCCCTGAATTCACCTCCCCCAGTAACACCTGGCCCACAGAGACAGGGGAGAGCAGTGGCCAGGCAAGCACACACAGCACGAGCACAGAACAAGCAGACAGAGACGAACAAGAGAGAAGATAACAGCCTGGAGTTAAAAGCGGAAATGGTAGAAGAAAACAGACAGAGACAGACACTCATTATGGGCACTTACACTGTTGGAAGCCCTACTAGATATAATAACACAGGCTGATCAAAAATCATCTTTGAGCAGCAGGAAATTTCTTACCTTAAGTTTGGAACTAGTGTACTTTCTGGGATTTTCTGAGACCTGGGTCCATGCAGATCTCAGTTTTCTATGGTGCACTGAGGCCATAACATTTTATCACTCCTCCCATCTCCCATCCCCCCTGCCAAACATCACTATACAAACCTTCTAACAACCTTGGTGTGACTCCTTCTCGATGGAATGAGCTCATAGGTATGCTCTTGCCATCACAGGCTTTTTCCATGATACTTCAGATGGAGTGAGCATTTAAGAAGAGCCAGATAACCACAGTATGCATAGTAAATGTTTGCATAAAGGTACAATCATCTAAATTATTGACTTTGAGACTCTCTGCATTTAAATTAGGCAATTAGAAACCGTGAAACTATCATCATGGTGTAAGCAATGCTGGCGAACTGTGACTCCACATGCAGCACATTGCAATCAAGTTCTGTAAAGGTCATGCATGTACAGTACTGTATATATACCCGTTATATAAAAAACACAATTCTGCCCTGAATTCTAGCTTTGAAGTTCTGGGCGAGGAACAGCACTGAGATCTCCAGCCACAAAAGAAGCCTACCTTTCCAAACCAGCCATGTCCGATCTCCTTCAGGTAGAGCAGACTATGTCGGCCCAGATCTGTGGACTTGAGGAGCTGGACTGGAGAAGAGCACATGGGGAAAGTGAGAGTGTCAGAGATGGATTAGGAATTATAGAGCAGCCAGCAGAGCCCATAAGGCATGGCCACTGACACGGGGAAGCTCTCAACACCTTGGACCAGAATGAATTTGTCAAAGGTGTCAACAAGAATCAATTCCAGTTTAAAATGCTTACTGGGGTCTTTGCATTTTATTTGAAGCAGATTTCTCCTCTGAACTGCGGGAATCATCTCATTCTCCGAGCTTGGATTCCCAAATCTTTGGGAGGTCAGGAATTGGGCATCACACTGTCCGAACTTCCTGTTGTTTGGCAGTTATCTATATTCCATACAGTTTATTTCGGCGAGTTCGGTTGCTAATATGGTAGCAAGGTACAGTAGTTTCACGCAGAGCAGAAATGTCCGTCCACACAGAAAACCAGCCTCGGCAGCATTTCAAGAGAAGGATTCTGATGAAACATGATGTGTTGGGGGTGGCAGGTGTCAGATGAAGAACTTGTATTCAGAGGACAAAAAAAACATGTGAAAGCAACTAAACCATCATACTTTGCTGCCAACATCAGTTTAAAATCTGAAGCCCCTCTTTTTTCTTGTGGTGTTGTGCTCATCTGAAATGTTTGTTTTTTTAAGTGGAGACCCCACTTCAGTCTCCCAATGGCTTCTCAGTAGGTCTCATAAGAAACCATGAAAAAGGGTGATTTTTTAATGTTCTATCTTCCAAGTCTGAATGTTTAGAGGTAGCAGACGGTTGTCTGTATTCTGTCCCTCATCACTGCTTTTGTTGCTTTCATCTGCTTACTCAATTTCTCTCTTGCTGCATTCTGCTGTTGAAGCAGTTTAACAACCACTTGCCTCGGACAACAGAGAACTGCTGTCCAGCTGAGATCACGTCACTGAATAACGCACCTTAAATCGATTTACTTCAAGTGCACATCTTCGTAAATACCCAGGAGATGCCGAGGACGAGACAAGTCGATGAAAACCTTAGGCTGGAATTTCAGACCACATGCCTGCCTGTCTGGTTTGACGTCCGCTTGCCCTCAGAAAGCACCACACCTGTCCTCTCCTCACCTTCTGTCCAATTAGATTAAAACAATCGACTCATTTCTGTAGAAGGAGAATACACTTCACCATGATATTCCGTCTGAAGAAATGCTCGACCAATGGCATGCCTGTACTGAATATTAAATTGAGAAGGTAGGCAAAGCTCTTGCATTCTACAAGTAGTTTGCCTCTTCCTTCAAAAAAGGAGAAAAAATAGTCAAAACAAACTAACTCTCCTAGTTGGCTATTCAAAAGCTTTCTGCATAGAATGTGTATCCAGTCAATCAGATAGGACAGTTTAACATTCCCTTAACATTTTACAATTTTAAATGATTAAGCCTTAATCTGGTTAAAGTTCCTTAAACGTCAGCAAGGAAAGAGGAACATGCTCCCAAAAGATCCTAAATGCCTTCACGCATTTGTCCTACATCTTTTGCTTTCTGCTCCGTTTGAACTCTGAGCTAGTCTGAAGAAGCTCTTTTCTCAGGCTCTCCAAATTATACAAAATGCCAGCAGGCTCCTATCTCCAGAATGACAACAACAGCAATAAAACAACAAAATCTATTTGCCTGTTGTGTCCACCGTTTTTTCACTAACCCCAAAGGGATTTGTATTCTATAGGCAAAGAACAACAAATAGAGTATTGTGAAGAGAAACAGGACCTCTGTCATGTAACCTTCCCCAGCTGCTTTTTTCCTAACCCCTCCCAATTTTATTCTGGTATTTAACGCCTCTGCAATATTCCAAAGGCCAGTCATTCCAAGTACACACACACATTCTCACACACTCCAGCAGAGACAGAAATGGCTCCATTGTCTAGAAGTCTTCGCTGCCTGGTACTGGAGACTGGTACTCAGACACTAGGCCTATTCTAAAGTGCACAGCTACTTAAGGAAGCAAGATGATAACACCACATTGCAATTTCGGTTTTTAATTTGTTTGAAGCACACTTTTTCCTTTCAGAAACCAAAATCTGAATTCCCTTCCCACTTCAGGGATTTTTCAAGCAGGTCTGCACCATAGAAATAAAAATACAGTACAGATGTACGCAGGGCCCCAGTCTGTTCTGTTGTGTAGGCCGAGGTTGAGAAAATGCTTTGCACAATACCTTTGATTCATATTAGGCCCATATGGACCTAGCACTGCCTCTTAGCAGTGCTGCGATGTGAAAAGCATGGGGGTGGCTGTATCGCTATTTCTGCTTGCAGGTTCATTAGCTGTAGCACAAGTCTATAAGGATAGGAATGTGATTGAGTAGGAATAAATTGAGCCTCTCAAAGATGGGGATAGAGAACTGTTGTTATTATTCTTGCATTTAATAGGCTTATTTGGTTTATGACAAAAAAAATCCTCTTATTGTATATTATAACCATTCAGGCACTTCTAAGCCGTCAGTATAAGGTCTTATATTCAGTTAGATACTGTACTTATATAAATTCTTCTATTAAAGGGCACATTAAATTTAGGAAATTTCTGGAAGCTTGCAATATGCTCTGGAGTACATATTTTAGAAATACAGCTGTTTTCTGCATCTGTGCAATTAAAGCCATGGAGCTCTTTTGAAAGAGGACGAATGAGAAGACTTTCCTGCTGCACAGCTGCAACAGACTGTCCCTGGCCTCCCTCTGGAAAAAGGTCTGAGCATTGGAACAAGAGGCGATCGGAGGGGGATTCTTGGAAGAAGCCCCTAAACTGAACAGGGAAAAAAAAATCCACCACACCCAACATCTCCTCCCATTCTACAGCGGGCATAGAAGAGCAGAACAATTGGTTAGTAGCTTTCTGATCCAAGAAGTACCTGGTTTTCACATCCTGGGATTCACAACATATACTGTATGCATACTGTAGCCTTATTCACTTACACTTAGTACAAGTTCTTCACAGGTTACGCAGCATGCGAGTTACCACAACTGAGGTTTACGGAAAGGTGTTTGAATAGCTTTCAGCTTATGGGCCAAATAACGATCAGAGTATCCAATATCCTAACTTCAGATTCTCAAGAATGTTTCACTTAAACACATAAACAGAAACATACTAAACAGAAAGCACTGCAAGCAGTTCTCAGTTTACCAAGGCATAGTAATAAGCAATTCAAGTGCTGCTGTGTGGTTCAACCAGTATAGGTGTTCTTTTTGAGCAAAGGTTGAGTTTTACAGCTCAGATTAAGACTGACCCTGGGTCATGTCACAGGCTGAATGGGATTCGCCATGTGGTAGCACACAACTCAGAATGTTGCCATACACATGAGCTGCAATTTTGCCAAAAAACCTCCGGCTCACTAAACCCTACCCAGCCTTGCAGTGATATCACTGAAGGATGCACCACTCCTCCAATCAGTACTAACTCTCCTGTAAGACATTGTGGAGCTTCCAGCAAGGGAAAGGGTGAACAGATGAATCAATAAATTCCTTCTCTGCCTTGTATTTTCTCCCTATTCCTCCCTACAAATCTTTAGCACAGAAGTTCTTTATTAAACAAATCCTTATTTAGCACAGAATCTGGGGTATAAAAGACAACTCATTATTCCAAATAACATAGGTATTAGATGGAAAAAAGTTAAAGAATAAGCCATCTTATTGACTGATTCCCATCCATTTGCTTTTTATATCAACTGTACATGAAGTAACCAGTTCCATAAAGTTTGTTCTATAATAATTTTCAAACTGAACAACAGTATACATTTAAAACCATTATCAAATATTAAAATACACCTGAGAGATCTTGCTTAAACTGCTGTATTACAAGATATTAATTCACCTTGTTACTCAGGGTTAAGGATCTAAAAATTTGGAAAGGGCATTCTAAGAAAAGATGAAGTGCAAATGCCCATATATGTCCTACCTGACACTATTAAAATCTAAACTGACTGCCAAGATGGAAAATTGCCTCTCATCATAAAAGTCCTGCAGTATATTAGATGAAAGCTAAAGATTATATTTAATTATTTAATACGGTTTGTTTTGTCTTTCGTTTCCCCTACAGATACTGACAAGATAGAAGCTAATTTCATAGGCAAGTCAGTGTAAATTTACAGACTGGAGACTGACAGCCTCATCAGTCTCCACCGCCACTGCAGTCATCATATGATTGATTCCACAGTTTAATGACCCAAGTCAACAAAAGCAGTAAACAATAACCCATTGTTACCACCAGCACAAGACAGACACATTACTGTGGTCAGTTTCTTTCATTTATTTCAAAAAGCATAAACATGCATACCACAAGGATTTGATGTAGGCAGGCTGTTTTACATTATACACTTGCTATTGAAAGTACGATTCAGTTGAAGCCTAGAGACATGTAGTGTCCATTTTTGGAAAAAAAAAAAAAACACATTCCATTTGTTGTGCAATTTCTTGGGAGGCACTGATTTAGAATCAAATCGATCACATCTTACCTGATCTTCCAGGCTGCTTTGACACAGGAAGTGAAACCTCAGTGAGGGGCAGGATGTAGACTTCAGGCCCGTTCTGTGAGGCTGGAGAGGCGAGGGTGGAGAAGTCAGCCTGGTACTCCTCTCCCTCTGTGTTCTCAAACTCCTGCACAAAAACAGGGCAACCATCAGCCAGCCTGCCCTCCATTTCTGCTCAGCCAAAAGGCACAGGATGCTTGCATGGGCCCACACTTTCAGTACACCTCCAGGAGCTGTGGTGTTTTCTCTACAACCAAAGCAGCGCCTGGAAATCTGGTTAATCAACCACCACAAAAAGCAGCATCGGCACAAAAACATGGAACAAGATAAGCTGACATACTGTAAGAGCAAAGCTGAAGGTTTTAGCACTTCTACAAATGTCTGTCATCCCTTTCTGCTTTGCTAATCCGAGCACACTATTATAGAATGCTGGACCAAAAAGTTCAAATATTAACAATTATGAAACACAAAATCTCGCACGTGTCCTTATAAATCCTTACTGCCTGAAACATTTTGAGACATTAACAAAAAGTATTTAACGACCAGCCCCAAACTGTGGATGGCACACTTTGTTACAACAGATTACACCAGTCTTACAAGTACGCCACAAAACATAGAAAACCTCTGTCGTAGGGATGAGCAATTTGTCTGAATGGAAAACTTCGACCCCTCCTCCGCCTCCACTGCCCTTTCGCCCATCCTGCATCCTCTGGGCCCCTTGTCAAACTGCTTCAGTTCTCACACGGCCTGCCTTGGCCTCTGCAGTATAAATGTTTGTTGTTTTTTTTTACCAGGGCTGCAGGATGCAGAGCAATCCTCTTCTCAAAGAAAAGTAAAATCACAAATACTGTTCAAAGTTGTCTCGAGAAAACAAGAGTCTCAGCAGGGGTCTATTAACCAACAGAATAAATGCTTTGATCACAGTTTCGAAAGAGCAGGGAAATCTACAAAATACTTTTTCCACTGTTAGGCAAAGAGAAAACACTGTCTGAGAACATTACAACATGAGCAGAATTTAAATATACTGCACAGTCCTCAAATGAACTAATTTCACATTACTGTCAATATCTCAATGGTTACCGCACCAAGAACACCCTTACATGCCTAACAGTGCTGTTATTTACTTCTATATAGAAGCACCAGACTAAGAGATACAGTATCTAAGCAAACCCGCATCCTCATTACTTGGGGAAAAAAAAAACTAACACTTTTCATGGAGAAAACATTTCAATTAGGGAACAAGTTATGAAATCTTAGCTAAGACTAATTATTAACTCCAGTGGTAACGCATTCTAAAGTAACCCTACAAACCCCCGAATAGAGCATTTGACACAGACATCCATTGTAGCCCGTTATGGTGACACAGCGCCACCTCATGACTGAAGGCTAGCCAGCTGTGTTGCGCCAAGCCCTGAAATAAGAAGTGCTATAACTTTAAGCCTCCAACTTATTCTTTATCCCCAAAATCTATAGCTGTTTCCAGAGCAACACATCACAGCCAATATGTTTGAATCACCAGCTGCGCTCTTGTTTTTCCTAAGATGCCAAGACAATCATTTCACACAGGATATTTCTATATTAGTTATATGAGCATGACAGTTACCAGCAAACGGGTCTTTTTCCAGATGTCTTTACCCAAAGAATGTTACAGATTAAGGGATAAACTGTGAGCATTAGAAACTGTAGGTCCAGAACCATCTACTTGGTTTTTGGGTTATGTCTAAAAAAGTGCACATGAGATTAAACTGCAAGAGCCTGGAAGAGAAAGGACTTGAACCAGGAATCTCTGGTTCAAGTCCAAGGGATTTCTATCTAAACCACTGGATCATCTTGTCGATCACTGCTGTTTTTACTTATCATACTAAAACACCACAGGAATACCGAGTTCCTTCGAAACTGCACCTCTCTATACAACCTCACACCTGAAGAAGGCTCCACGACCGAAACGTTGTGTTTTCTTTCGTCTTTCTTTCAGCATGGAATAAACCTATTACTTGTTCCTCTCTATACAATACATACGTATTTTCCACTTTGCATTAGCCAAATATACTGTTGAATATTTCCTTACCTGGTCCAGAGTCGTATTCTGCACTATGTCCTAAATCCACTTCTCTAAAGAGTCTTGAGGTTCTCAGTATCGAGAAGGACACAACAAGGGCACAACCCCAGTGTCTATATGCTCCTAGACTGCAAGCCATTGAACTGGGCTTGGACCTGACCTTCAGGACTGCATCCATCCAAACTCCCATTTCACTGTCAATCGGCTCTCTTTTATAATCCCAGGATGCTGGGGCTGCCCTTCTGAATCTGAAGCATGCTGCCAGCGGGTCATTGTGTTGAAAGAGGCTCATTGTTAGATCCCTCAAAAAGGGGAATGTTCTGGTGCTGTTGGGACGATCCTGCTCGCGGACAGGACCCAGGGAAAGGAGGAGCCAGCTCCAAACACAGAGCCAACTCCTCTGTTTTTACGGCCCGAAAAGAAAAAAAAAATGCAAGGCATTACAGAAAAAAAAATAGAGAGAGAAAGGCAGAGGACAAGAGAGAGAGAAGCTTTTTCACATTCTGTGCTCATGACATCACCCTTCCCTCTCTGTCCCAGGAACATGTGCACAGCAGTCACCGGCCCAAACACAGAGTGTGGAAAATTTAAACAGAGCCTGAGAATGCTTTTAAAGGAAAATATTAATGAAAAGATTCCCTCCTCCACTGTGCACACTGGAGAGAGGCACCCTCTCTTTCCAGACATGGGGCCCAGCTACAGGATGCCGTATAAAGGGAAGTGCTTCTTTATTCTTATTTTGGGAGGGGGATGTTTTCATGCTTTTATAGCACTTCTCTGTTCATTGCTGCCAAAATTATAAGCTATTAATTCCTCTAGTGTCTCAGCTTCCACTTCTCCACCCCACAGCTTCCTAGTAAACCTGATCTAAGCACAAGAGTCAGTTACTTACAAGTGTTTCCAGCACAAAGAACGGTGCCAGACTATATCAATGTCGGAGTTCAGACTGCCAGACAGCAGCGCAAAAACTTCATATCCCCTTGATTTGATTAAGTTCAGCTGCAGTACCTGCTCCACCAATTACAGCTAACAGGAGACAAAGGACTGCCACCTGTGAGACTCAAAGGATGACAGTTGCTAGGGGCGGAAGTTACTTTTTAATTACTTTCGCTGCCTTTAGGAGGAGTCTTTAGGGTTGTGGATAAAATACAAATAGAAACCTCAAAAGGACGTACAGTAGTAGAGGATTAGTCAGATGAACACCACCCACTCTCTCCCTGACAGATGCACCAAATGCATACAGTCACAATTATCGAGTCAGCACACGTGTAGAGATGGGTACTATAAATGTAGGCTCCACGCATTATAAGGTCAAAGTGTTCTTGTTTCATGCTGCCTTGACCCACTTTTGAATTGTGCTCTAGAATGTATTAAATCCATCCCACGTCTTACCTCCATTGACTATCTGAAAAGCTCTAATGCACTTACAGGACATGTTCTGTAAGCCTTCTCTTTCAGGTGTGCCATTGGTTTTATCAGGACCATTTTCAGCATTACTGCGGTTCAAAGGACCACCTACTCATCCTTTGCTAGCTGGGAGAAATTTTGCATTGCCTTCTGAATGAATGCATGCCTGCAGTTAAGAGAATTGCAGCAGGGGCATGTAGAGTACAAAAAGATAAACCTTTGTTTTAGATATACTGTAAAGCAGCTCTTCTGCTATACTCAGTGTTTGAGCACAGAGCTCAGGAACAGTGAGTAAAAAGACAGTGAACACCCTTACGTTAAACCTAGAGAAGTTTTAGAACAAAGCCTTGCATTTTACCATTCGCATTCAAGCACAAAGTATGAATAAAGTTTTGATTTTAGCTTGTACTTGCCTTTTAATGTGTTTTATGACTACAAACCTTCTGAAGTAAACTTGGAGAAAAAAGCAATTAACAACATTTTTTGTTTTTGTCAATCTGAATCGGTCTTTATGGTAGAAAAAGACATCCCGTTCTGATTTTACAAAAGTGAGAGCATAGAGTTTAAACAAAATCATCCACCCAAGCCAATAGGCTTTATCTAAACCACTGTTTTAATTTGATTCACTGATTAAACAAATGGGAATCACTGGACAGAACTGGTGTTTTATAAAACAGGCATTTTTACTGAGTGTCAAAATGCATCTTGTTGAAGCCATGCAGCAGGAAGATATCAGCATACAGCTCAAGGCAGATGGGTGAAGTAAGTATTTTTTAATGCTTAAAATGTGGTTAACACTGTAAAAACCAAACACAAATATGAGTGTGAGACAACACAATCTCTTCTAATCGTGCATGAAAGCAGAGGGCCCAATACTGAGGGCAGCCACACACTGACCAATAATATTAGCACAGCCTCTTTCTAAAGGAGATGTTCTGGTCACAATCTGTTTCCCTGGAGAGTGTGGCAATCTTCAGTACTGGAAAAACCTGGAGCAAAGTGTTTGAGATGATGAAGGAATGTTTATTGACTACATTTGCAGAGCTTCTGTTATGTACTGTAACTACACATCGTAGTGTGTAGACATCACACTCATCTCATAATCCACTCCTGCTCAATTTATTGCAATGACTTGTTTATTAATAAAAATAGACAAAAACAACATAAATTGTCCCTGTTAACTGCCTATGGTCTAGTGACAAAAGAAACCTAATTCCTGGATTTTTCCTGATGGGGGATATCAGCCTATATCCAGATACATTAACTCTGGTTAGAAGGTTAATTTCTCTCCATAAAAACCCCTTTAGTACTCATTGGGGAATTAGAGGTGTAGAAAATGTTTAAAACAGGTGGAGGCACAGAAACATTAATGGGTCAAGTTTGAATCTTAGATGGTCCAACAACCTTTGTGCATTCCAATATTTTTCTTTAGCTTCAATCAAATCTACCACAGTGCACGTGAAGTCACACCATGAAGTGGTATTATCGTTTATACAAGGGATAACCAAAGGATGCATGTTCAAAAACCTCCAACAGGGGGCGAGAGAGCAGGCAGTCTCACCTTGAAGCCGATGTCCCCCTTCTTGCAGCACAGGCAGGCCAGCATGAGGAAGATGAAAGTGAAGAGTCCAGAGAAAGAAACCGCAACCACTGCCAGGGAGGAGGACCAAGAGAGCTCACTCAAGGGGGCACCATCTGCAGGTCAAAAGAGGAAATGTGTTTAAAGATAATAAGCAGCAAACAACAGTGCACTTGATAGTCCTCCCAACAATTTAGAGTTGGGGGTGGTGTTCCAGTAGTCATTGAGGGCTCTTATTCAGCAAATACTGTACCACTTAAGTTACCAACTTAAAACCCATGGAAAATAGACTAAAGATTAACACTTGATGGAAGTATTTCAATTTAGATTTTAAAGTAGCTTGGAGAACCTACTGGATGTCAGTCTTCAGCGATTTTAAAAATATGGCAAAAAATGAAGCCAAAGTACTATGTCCATTGTGGGTGGCCTACACATCTGCCACCTCCGGTCTCTACATGATTCGTTTCTTTCACGTTCTGCTACCCCACTGTCCCAACTCTGACAGCAAAAACGGCGACTGGATTAAATCCAGGCTTGGGTAACCTGAGCAAACGTGTCTTCTCCCTGACAGATGAGGAGCATAGGGCGTCAGAAAGGTTGATTTCTTGGTTTCACTCCACAGCCAGACACAAAGTGACAATGACATGTTTTGCAGTGGGGGCTGTAAAGGACTGTCATTTTGCATTTTGTGGAAAAGCATTCTGACAGGGATTGGCAGCCCAGGAGAACAGGAACTGCACGGATAAGGAAGGCTATGCTAACTGAAAGGATGTTATTACACTGTACGTACCGGTTTAAAGATGCACTATGCACCCAGTCTTTCCAAATCTGGCCTAGCTATAAACTTGACTATTTCCATAAACCTTTAATTAATCTTAGATAACAAAACTGATTTTGAGCAATTTTTCCTCCTTCTTTTTGTCTTTGCAAACTCGGACAATTGCAGCTCTCACTGCCTCTTTAATAAATATTTCTCGGTTCTGAGAAATGCATTAACCTCTTGGAGGTTACCATGGGAACAGATTGGACTGTTGGCCCATCACGTCAGATTGCTTTCAGCTGTAAATCTCCCCATTTTTTTCATATCCTGCTGCCAGTTTCCTCCTGATCCCCTGACAGCTGTTTCTCCTCCTAGGCCCTGCTCCCCTCTGAACAGCAGAGAGCACTCATGAACGAGGCAAGGAAAGGCAGACAACAGGGATGGTGGAAGAATATTTTTTCAGCTAAAAAGCATCTCATGTTGTGCATCACTCATAACCATGGGAGCATGAAAAAGCCATCAGCCTCTTCAGAGGCCTTGCATATGTGTGTATCAGTCTGCCTACAATTAGATCTCCAAAAAATTACAGTTATCTCCAAAAAGATGATACTGACATAATACCCCAGTTACCACTTCCAAAGCATCAATCCACAATGCATCACAGTACCATATAAGCATACCAACCAAGCTCTTAGACTAGCCTTTCTGGCACAGGCAAAAGATCAGCTCTGGAGTCTAGGCCTCAATCTGTACGTTTTGACCCGCTGTATTACCATATACATTAAATCTGTTTTGTCTTTATAATCCTGTAACCCACATTTATACTAAACTCTATACATTTAGCAAACAAACACAATCAATGTAAATATGATGAGTTTTTGGCACATTTCAGACCTGAAATACGTAGTTCTAAAAATAAAGTTGCACATCTGCAACACAAGATAGTCCAGTAAAAGTTACCCGGTATCTGCTTTAAAGATTTTTTTAAAAAAGCCCTGATGTAAACTGAAATAATTTTTTGGTAATAACAGATTTAATCCCTTTTTTCAGAAAGGTTTCTGCAATTCAAATTTTGTGAATAATGCATAGTACAACTACTATACAGTGCATATGATATATCAACTGCATATGTAGTTGGAAACTATAGCATAGCAAGTGATTTATGGCATAATGGTCTAAACTGAGTGTAAAGGCACATCACTTCAGCACTGAGCAAGTTTATGAATTTTTTTCTTTACTCTTCAGCCAAACTACAAAGTGGCAGCAGCATACTGCATAGCAGGGATTAGTGGTGCCTATAAATATTTGAAGAGTACACACTATCTTGCATGCAATCAAAATTACAATAAACCACTTAACTCAAGCGAATGGGGTCTTTATTAAAGTCCTGTCTAAATATTAAAAGAAGTGATTGATATTCTCCTCAGCACACATCCACTTTGCTTATTTGCAGACATACTTCCAGCTAATAAGTCAGCGCCTACAGGACTGATGTGGGCCTGTAGCACAGTGTTGTGCATCAGAGAGTTCTGATGATTTGGAGCAGTATTTCCTCATTCGCTTTTAAATGTCTTGAATTTAAATCGCATAGCCACACACACATACATGACAGCACAAGATTGCTCAGACCTGAACAGACAGACACCCTGGCCTTTCAAACACTACACTGGCTAGAAACAAGCAACCAGGGTCAAGATAATACATTTCTTTTCTAATTGGATGCCCATGTGCCACAATGAAATACTGATAAATTTGTACCACACAATATTACGTTCTTAGCAAGGATATAGCATCGTTTTTAACTAGATAGAAAATAAGGCGCAGTAGTTAATTTTGAACCGAGTTAAAATGGGGATAGTGAGGATTGTTGAACAAGTTGAAAACGAGTGTGTTCTATTTTTTGTTGTGTTTGTCCACTGGTCATGGCTCAATGAATTCAAAGCAGGCTTGTACTGTAAAACCCACAAGGGACAATAAAGCAGTATCACACAGCAAAACAAGTATAAAGGCACAGAGAGAGATACAGGTTGTCAGATCAATATTATCGACCGCTCCGCTACTCTCCCTAATTAATCTGGGAATTGCAGACAATATTCTTCTCAGAGCTAGGAAGAAGACAAGGCTCACTCTGCTAGCTTGCCTGGAGGAGTGGACCTCATTTTAATAGTTCTGACTGACTCGCTTTCCCTGATGGAGTGTAATAAAAAAAAGTCTCAAATACTTTAAGCCAAAAGGAAATTTTAACAGTTGATTAAAAAGCTCACTGATGACTGTTAGACCATCAACAGAAACCAGTTGAATTCTCTTCATAACTGAGCCTTTCAGTTCTCAGGACTCCGAACGACAGCAAGCACCGTTGATGACTAAAAGATGAAGAAAAGGGGGCCAAAAATAAAATGGTACAAATAAAAAGTGAAACAGTCAAAGGGGCCGAATAGTTTTGATAACGATTTCATAGATTTTGAGCATGACCCAGTGCTTTTAAATACCTTTAAAATATAATTTTTTTAATCTTTAAGTAATTAAAACTAGAAGTCTGTCTGGAATTGGATTAGAAAGGTATAGTACTTTAGGGAGCTGCAGTCCACAAATGCCCCTGAGTCTTCATCCACAATGGACTCCTGATCCTAGTATCATTACCGGGAATAGTCATTGATCTCTTGGGTCTGTCTACACTGGTGAGGGTGCTTCCCTGGTGGATGGCATGCTTGCCTTCTTATCACAGCTTTTACATCTAGTCTCTTTTTCTCAGTCTGCCAGTCTCTTATCAGTCCCTTAAAATACAGTAGCTCCCAGGGGCTCACCCAGCACATATACACGAACCTAGCAGTGCACAAAGACACTCATTCATAAAAGCATCTATCTAGACTCAGAGGGAACGAGACAAAGATCCTTACAGACACATGGAGGTCACTCATCGTAGAGAGGGACATGCACACAAGCAGTTACAGAAACCACAAACAAGGGCACCGAGTTGTGTTAAAAATGGAGAGGCCTTCAGCAGGATTAAAAATATTCTGAATGCTTTCAAGATGTCTAACTGAGTTTGACATTCACAACTGAAACCACTCTGAAAACATTATAGAAAAGAGTGCTCTACCATCTAATACAGTTGCATTGGCTCTTCTGTTTCTAAACTGGAGTACTCTATCTCTCTGTGTTTCAAAATAGATGTCTGTGGTACACAGTACCTAATGGATGCTGGCATGTTCAGACTAATTAGCTATTTAAGAAGAAGCCAACCTAGTTAACTTCCTGGCATGTAATCGGAACAAGAAACAGCTGAAACCTTCAGAGCTAGGCCAAGTTTTTTACTCCACAGAGAGATGAGAGTCAGGTGCCTTTATTCCTGAGTTACCAGGTGTGTGGGGCAGCACTACTGGTATCAAAGAAAACGATTTAGCAACAGACATTACTTCTGACAGGCCAAGAGAGGAGAATCCTTTCATGAATCTAGGGGGAAAACTGCTTTAGGTTTTTTAAACATTATTAACAGTCACCCTATAGTGGGAATTTCTAGGCTTGAAAACACCTGATCGCTAACATTGTCAAACGAAAAGGGGATAAACACCTTTTCAAACATAAAGCCTTTTGTAAACTTTTCAAGCTCAATAAATAAAAGCTATATAAATTATTAATATTATCAAGTGGGAGTCAGATTTGAAAGGAATGGCATTTTCAAATGCGACATTAGTAATGGTAATAAGTGCTATTAATTCAGATGCAATCAGGTGCAATATTGTCAACATGATCTGCTCATGGAAATGCTGACCTTTTCAGCCTGGTGCAGGTCATTCCTTTGCAGACGTGTCACAGCAGGTAAGCGTGTTTAGAGAGGAGTCCTGGTGTCAGCTGAAAGGAGCCGTGGAAAGAGACGAGCTATGCCTCCCATGGAGCAGAGCGGTGCAGGAGCCTGCGTTCACCTGGTCACGTGCCTGCTTGTTTGGTTCCAGCACGATGACCTCTCATGGAACGAATGAGCTGTCACGAGCAGGCTCCCCGACAGCAAGCACTTCACTTCCAAAATTCAAAGTTGGACAGACGGGGTTGCAAGCATTTGGATCACAAGATGGTTCTGGCCATTATAACACCTGCTTTGCATATGAGGTCATAGGCTGGAACAATCAAAGTGATTTTGGAGAGCGGTGTCTAAAATGCTGTGCATAAGGGTTGACATCACCTCACTGCAGGTAAACGCATATCTAAAGGTTGCTTGAGGGGACGCAGGAACAAACCTCATACTGTACACGGGGCCTGACAGTGGACATTAAAACAAAGATGTTGCAAAGCAATTCAGTTCACCACATAATCATTCATTGTTTTTAGATCTACAGGTCTACCTTTGGCACAAAAAAT